TATGTATGCATGGCATTTTTTTCATCCTGTTGTGACTTGGCTCAATCCCATGATCTGCACCAGGAAGCTCCTGCTGAGCTGAAGAAGCTCATAGCACCGATGTTTCATATCCGCTTTGTGGAAGATTACTTGCCTGGCCCCCAAGCGGCCGTTCTGTTTGTGATGGGAATGACTGATTTGACTAATTTAAGTGACCAAACGTTGACCGCAAAAAAGAAAGTTCCTCTTTGTTTGTTCTTTTTTTCAACTGACCAGACATATGGGTGTGTCTGAAAATAGTGTACCCCTAAACCCAATGGTTAATGATCATTATCCCTATTAAATGGCTATAATTGGGAATATACCCTATTTTCAGACAAACCCATATGTTGGGCGCGAACTGTTCAGAACTGAGAAATTCTGCGAACGTCCAACGTGAATCGAAGGTGGATGATCTTCGATGAATGTGCTAAGAAGCAGAAGAGTTTCCACGACAAGCTGCGAGACGCTGGGCCAGGGGCCTCAGGGGCCCGGAGTTTTAGATCCATTGGGATTAAAGGGATAATACGATGGTATAATGGATATATATATATATGTCTATGTCTATATATATATATGTATATATATATATAATGGATATATTATGGGATATCATAGATCATTTCTTAAAGTCTTACACTGCTTGACAGTGCCCTTTTAAGGAGCCATGTCTGGCTGAAAAACGGGTGACGTATCACTGGGACCGAAATCGATTGTTGCGGACAGCTTAGGACTATGGACCAGCTGCTGCGAATGCGGGAGAACTTTCAAACGGGCGGCGAGGAGCTTCCCCCGGGCTCAGGGGCTGTTTGTCAATTCGCTGTCTTCCAATTCTGGAATCCGGAAAACCCAGCTTAGCAGCTTGGTTTGTCTGGGACGCCCAAAATCCAATGGTGGTTGGTGGTTTGGAACATTTTATATTTTTCCATTCAGTTGGGAATGTCATCATCCCAACTGACTTTTCACTCCATCATTTTTCAGAGGGGTAGGTACACCACCAACCAGAAATCCAATGTCATCATGCCAATTGAAATGGCCATTTTTGGAGGCTGACTTGCTGCTCCCTCAGGAGCGGATGTTAGAGTTGGAAAAAGAGTGGCATGCCCAATGCAAGGCGATGTCCGATGCGGTTGGAATCTTAGTTTTTTTCCAGTTTCGGTTGCAACATCTTCTTTTCATTAGCATTAGCGCCTTGTCACCGAAATGGAGGGAATTTTTTAATTCGGAAACTTCCATCCCAAGACTTCCAAGATCCCAGTGACACCACAAATTTTCCGGTGAAATTGAGTCATTCTGGTGCACTAAGGAAGAAAGAAAGAAGGAGAAACTGCCTCAGAACATCGATATCCACACGCTGAAGCAGGTGCTTGAATATGCCCAGGACCATGCTAAGCATGACCGGGTCAGGGTGTCCTTCCAAAGCTGTTGATTCGTGATGGAAGGGAACCACTGATTCGGCTGTTGATATTTCTTTGGCATGACACTTGACCTTGGTTTCAATGGGGGGGAGGCCGAATGGACCGAATGGACGATGGCATCCCTGCATCATGATGGGACCCTACAGAGGAGTGCACGAAGATATTCCCCTCTATAGGGTGATGCTCCCCCATGACGAGCATTCGATGTGAAATCTACAATAAAAAAGTCTTCTCTTTTTGCTCGGATATTTTTCAGGGGCTTAAAACCACCAGATGTTCGAAGATGTTCGAACTGCTGATTTTCCACCGTTTTTTTTTGGTCCAGGAGTGCAAGCGTGAAGGGAACTTCAAGTTTCAGGAGGGTCTGTATGAGGAGGTCAGCAGTTCGATTCCAATTGGAGTTTCGATAGTTTCGGACGTGCTCGATCCGTGGTAGGCCTTACATATCTACAGCCAAGCTGACGACGTGATGAAGAAATGGAAGGCCCTTTTATCATTTTGTGGTCCTTTCGGGGCCAACGTTGTTAGTCGTGCCCGCGATTTCATGGGCAGGTGGATAAGCAGTTGAAAAATGAAGCAAAGTGGCTCAAAGACTACCATATTGCTTGCCTCAAGTCTTCCTGGCATGATGGGATGGGATGGGAGATTCAGGACGAGATAAGAATGACAGCAAAATCGGTATGGGAAAAGAGCTACACTGTGAGAGTTCAAAGCCTAGACACAGAGCACTCAGAAGCTAAGTGCGTTGGAAAGCCATGATGTTTGCAGGGGTCTGTAAAAAAAGGTTGGCAACTGTTGGCAATCAGCAGGGACGAATAGCAACACATGTCCGCTTTGAGGCTTTGAGGGACCAAAGCCAGCACCTTTATATACAACTCTGATCTATATACTATATACTATATACTATATACACTATATAATATATACACTATATAATATATATATATAGGATATATATTACAAGTGATACATGTCATGCTTGCTCTAGCCTTTTTGCTCAGCTTCAATGGCTCGATTTCCCGCCAGGAACAAGGCTCAAGCGGCCTTGAAACTGGAACTTTTCCAAACTGCCCTGGCGACTTCCCATGCAAGGCGTTGCTTCGTTGTTTTGGGGACATTTCTAGTCACCCAGGTGGGAAGACCTTGGGGGTTTCCATAAATGGAGGTACCCAAAAATGGATGGGTTATAGTGGAGCCTATGAGAATGGATGAAAATGGATGATTTGGGGATAGATGACTTAGGAAACCTCATGAAACCTCCATATTTGGCGAGTTTTGTTGCTTTAACCGACTGGATGCACTTGCCCCAAGGATGCATCTGAGTCTGCCCTTGCGATTGACGCGGAGGACCACAAAGCCTGGTACAGGAGACTTGGCTCAAAATTGGTGGAAGCCCCCACGTCCATTGGTGAATCATGCAATGTGGGGTCCCCCTTTACGATAGCTATGTTGGTCAATAACTCCAATCACTGTTTATGATACTTATAACTTACCCATAGGATCCATGTATGCTACATATGGTAACATTTGCCATCAATATACCCCAAATGTTAGCATATATACCATACATGGATCCTATGGGTTATAGTTCATGGGGTTTATAAAGCATCTTATAACTTGGGGGCCCTTTTTTTTTGGTGGTTTATGAGTCATCAGTCAGATGGCCATCGATTGGGTAGTCGTTCCATTATCAGACAGATTTGTCGGATCTTTTGTGAGGGCCTGGCCTTGGGAAAACTCTGGCAATTGATGCTCCAAATATTCAATGGGAGATCTTCAGGATCCAATTGATGGAGGTACGTTAACGTACCATATTTCAGGCCATTTTTTTTGTGGAGATATTCCCTAAAAAATAGGCCTTATATATATGGTAGGTACCTCCAATAAATCGGTTCCTGAAATGGCCATTGATTTGCTTTGGCAGGAAGGTGCAAGCTGAGAAGGGGCTGGGCAAATTCAAGGAGGTGCATCTAAACAGATGAAACTTGGGAAGGCAACACAAGTGAAACAGAAGAGTTTTGAACCGTAGATTATAGATGATGATAGAGTACTTATATTACTTGATATGTATTCGATATGTATTTACCATCTGGTTATTTAACAGTTCGCCATGGTTTTTCGATGGCCCTAATCGAAATAGATGGTTTACCTAGTGGTTTACCTATTGAAAATGGTGGATCTTTACTGTTTCTATAGCGACGACCTTCCAGGCCGAGGAGTCTCTCGCAAAGCTGGAGGACGTGGCACAGTGGTGTGCCTCGTCAACTTACCATCTGGGTGTGACATTCACAGTTTGCGAACTGGAAAGATCCACCATTTTTTATTGGTAAACCATCTATTTCGATTAGGGCCATCTATTATATACCATGGCAAACTGTTAGTCATAACCAGAGGGTAACAGAAACGGGACCAGCAATCATGGTGGTCAAGTTGCTGATCAAAAAAAACCCTCAGTCATATGAGTTTCACCCTCCCCGGAAATTCACGAAGTCCATGGTGAGTTAGTTGGGGGTAGAAACACATCCATTTGACCTTCATGAAGTGGTCGAACTAATTTCACGTGTTTTTGTGGATTAGCCAGTGATTTTTTTGTAGGTAAAACAATGTCATTTTTACCACCCATGACTGGGAATGGTTTATACCAACTATTGATGGTGATTTGGGGGATGGTTTATGGCATTTGCCCAGCCGAGGTCCTGATCGAAGACGCATTCTGCGCGATTGCGAACAAGAGAGAACGAGGCCCAGATTCGTTTTGCTGAGCTTTTTGCGATGTGGGAGATTCCCAAACTGACCCCAATTTACCATCGCTTTCCAGAAATGACTTGGATGAATTTGGAATCCCCGGGTTTTGGGACAGCTTTGTATTGTAAAAACGATTTGTTCATGATCCATTTTCCTTCGTAGACTGTCGTAGACTTGATTTCGCCATTTATTTCCATTTGATACGACTTTTCCATAAAAGCATTTGGATTCCGTTTGCAGTTTTTCTTCTTTTCGTCCTAAAACAGCGACATTTTACGTGTGAGTTGACAGGATCAAAAATGCCCGAGTGAAGCACAAGCAATCAACGCAAGAGATGCTGGGAAGGGCCTTTCAGGCGAAGCGGAGAACCAGGGCGAAGCCGCGAAGCGATGTGGAGAACATTCTTTGGGTGTGGATGTTTGGTGGGGGATTCTATGATTACACAAATGCATTTATACTCTGTATATAATATATATATACATACATACATGTATGTATATATATATACATACTTCCGTATGCATTGACCAAACTCAATTTATTTTGTTTCTCTCTGGCTCTACAGAGCCAATCCTTCCAGGCAGGTGTCTTCAGCCTTGATCGTGACAGAGAACTGGAGGAGGCCACCAAGAAGCTGGAAGAGCCGGCCATGCCGCGGCCGCAGGTCCCAATGTCGGCAGGGATTTCATGGGGAGAATGTGGGTGGGATCTATATATATATATTATATATATATAAAGGTATGTATGTATGTATATAAATATATATATGTACAATGTATATGTATATGTAACTATATATATATGATATATATATATATGATATATATATATATGGTTTCCTAAGTCATGGGCTACCCCCAAATCATCCAAATGGACCATTTCAAACATTAAACCCATGGTGACATGGGGATCCCCCATGCCGGTCCTGTCCTGGTCAGGCCCTTGCTGACCAGAGGAAGCCTTTGGAGGCTGCTGACGATACCATTTTTCAGCTGGAAGTTCGTGGTGAAAAATCCCCTCCACCCCGAAGTTTTCCAACTTCTGTAGAGATTGTATATAGTATATTGTATTATATGATATATATATATATATATATATTGATATGATATGATATGACATGATATGATATGATATGATATGAAAATGGGAGCCACAAACCACCCAGAAAAGGCTCAGCTCAGGCTCGACCGCTTGAAAGGAATATCCAGCTCACGGCTGCTCTGGCTGCGAGCTTGGTACCGGTAGCTGACTGCTGACTGTATTTCCAATGGCTTTCTGGCTTCAGAATGTTCAGAACATCATTTTCCCCAGTAGAATCTCTACAAAAGTGTCCTAATTTTTCTGGCTAGTTATAAGTGGATTAACCCTACTTATCTCACTTTATAACCAGGGATATGACCCACTCCTTTGTTTGTTGGCGCTTGGATGGTTCCAAGCGTCGGTTCCGTTTCCCGTTCCGCCCAAGGCGGGTGATCTGATGGATGAACTCGCCACCGCGTATGGTCAAAAGTGGTTCCAGGCCCCGAAAGACGTGGGAAATTTGGGACCGGAAAACGCCACCGAACGCGTCCGAAAGAATTGCTTCAATGGGGACACAGGAAATCCGATGAGTCTGATTTTGATGAAGTCAGAATCTTGCTTTTCGGTTTCGATTTTTACAAGAAAACCATTGAACACAGGAAATGAAGCGAAAATCACTAGCGCGCCGCCAGGAGCGAGTGCGAAAGTGTGCTCGAGATTCTGGCTACGAGAGATCCGTTTTCCTCATGCGCTTGAAGGATGGGTTCGACTTGGGGGGTCGACTGCGGGGTGGTTTCACACTTCTAGGCATGGCTTCAAAATGGTCCCCCCCAAACATCAGGAGTACTCTCTGGCCGGGCTGGAGCAACCCAAAAGATGAACAATGCAACGGTTAATGCAAGAAATCGCACCCATCAAGCTTGGATAGCACCCAAAAATGGGGTGTGTGTAGCTAGTCCCACATCAAATAGCCTGATAGGAAACCATTTCACAAGAGAGAATGCAGTGCAGTGCACCAGGATTACATCGTGGGTTGATCCAATTTTTTTTGGCATACCGCATTGAATCCCATTTTCAGACAAACTACATTTACTACACTTGCCAAAGATATCATCTGTTATATACATATTCCTCCTTGAAAAGCAGCCATTTTTCAAGCAATATCCTGAAGCTGAGACTCAGGACGTTGCTTTCGAGGTTCAGAAGCCGGTTCTGGAAAAATGGGGCTTTGAGGCCGCGATGAATTGATTGATGAAGCTTGATGAGTGTGAATCCTGGATGGATAGGCTTCGAGGGATGATAGTCCGATGACTAGATGACAATGTAGATATGACTAGGTGGAGGTAGATGGAGAATGAGTGATAGATTCTGATAGATGGAGTCTGGTGCACAAGCAACACTGAGAGTTTCAGGGTCTGGGTTGTGATGGATACATATGGATACTGGATCAACTGGAGTGATGTGATTTTCTATGATTCCTCCAGGGCAACGAACATGGTGTGCGAGAAATGACTGCTGCCATTCGTGAACATGCTGGGAAGAATGGCAAGGACCAGCAGAATCATTACTAGTCATTGAGTGATGGCCACATTGGAGGTTTCTCATTTTGAGTCGCCGGGTGTAAGCAGGAGATGCCACAATGGCTCAAAGAGAAGCAAGACAGGCGAGATGTGGCTTCTGCAGCTATCTTGCAGAAACATGTTTGAACGGGTCGACATCTTTGATGGCCCAGGGAACTGCCGATTTTTTGCTCAGAAAATGGGTATTTTTCAGCAGCCCATCACAGTTGATCAAATCAACCATCATTTCTTGGGGTTGATCCCGACTTTAATCCAATTCTCATTCTCCAAGGATTTCTGGTCCAATCACAATCAGATTATCAGATTATCAGTTGATCCTTTGGAAATCAAACATGGCTTGCTGGACAATTCCCATGGAGTTTGACGATTTTCCCCAGCAAGAAACCTCCATTTCTGTTGGAAGTGAATGATTAGCCACTTGCGGGTGAATGGAACCACTCTGTAGAGGTGCTTGGAACTTCTGTATGGTGGGAAGGAAGGTGGTATGCTGGACATTCTGAGATGAGAACATCTGATTTTTCCTGGCCGAAGCCTTGAAGCCAAGTTGCTGTTGTTTTGGGGCCAGTTGCTGTCTGATGAAAATCCTAGTTGCTGTGTGGATTTTTTGAGACTTACTACTTACTACTTTTTTCTTATGGTCTCACCAATGTACATAGAGGTTTGTGTCCTTTTGAACTCGGACACGAGCAAATTTTGAGGTTAAGAAAACAGACTGCGTCCGAAAGATGGAACAATTTGCATCTTCAATGGCTTCTTCAGCCTGATTTTTTTTTGTTATTTATAACATTAGACCAGGTAGCCTTGCAATTTTATTCTTGTTGCCCGCGGCCGGTTCAAGAGCAGAAGGGACTCCGCCAACCAAAACAGGGCAGCACTGCTGCATTCTGTGGAGGACTTGAGGACTGACTTTCTTGTCATGGCTGAAGTGACCTGAGCAGTGGTTGCAAGACACCCCTGTTTTTTTTTTGAGCTTGTATCATACAATATCATACATATTTACACTATGATACTATCCTTTCAATCTTGGGGATTCTATGAGAATGGAATGATGCTGCAGCTGTAGGTCACGCTGCTCACGATGATCACCGCCACAACACGTGGACGTAGGAGACATGTTTGATTTCGACGAACTCGAGGAGAAGATTGAGAAGGAGGAATCCGAGGCGATTCTGGTGGCTTTTCGGGAGAGATCCCATCCCTATTTCAGACCTTGCAGGAGTTATAGACCTTGCAGGAGTTATAATTAGTGTATAATTAGTGTTGAAAATCATAACTCCAATGCTTTCCCTGAACTGGAGGGATTGGCCGTCTGCAGCTTGCTGCTGGCATCATCCGAATATGTGCCGAAGAAAAAAGCGAATGGAGCTGAGTGGTAGTCTGAAAATAGTTTCTTTCTTTACGGGTACTTATACTTCCCAAAAAAAATCCCCCAAACGGAAAAACCAAAAAATCCCAAAACCAGTCCAGACCCAGATCCGCCGGTTTCAACACCTCCTTTTCCCGGCCACATTTCATGGATGTACCCTCTGGTAATTTAACATAACTATGGAAAGATCCACCATGCTATTCATGGGAAAATCCTCTATTTCGACTGGGCCATTTTCAATAGCTAGCTATGTATGTTTACCAGAGGATAACTTCACCATCTCCAGGTGGTGAAAGTGGAGCAAGCGAATTCGGTCGCCTCCATCTCCACCTCGACCTCTCCGGAGTGCTGCGCTCAAGTCGTGGAGGCAGAAAAAACGATGTGGTGAATTTCTGTGTCAGATTTCTTGTAGATTTACAATTTACAGTGCATAAGTTATAGATTTCGGAGAATTGGTTCAAGCGAAATTTCGGCAACCGTTCTGTTCTCGCAGTACCTGCAAGGGTTTCCTCTCAATTCTTCATGCAATTCGTGCAATTGGCATGTCCAAAACCGTACATATTTCCCCCTTCAACGGAAGTGACAATTCGAACGGAAGTGACAATTCGAGCGGGATTTCACCACAGATTTGGCGGGTAACTCTGTTGTTTCCCGAGAAGACCTTCCAACCATCCATCCAGCCTTGGTTGGAAGATTTCCTATGTAAGGGGATACCCCCCCAAAATATGGCCTGAAATATGGTACTAACGTAGCTCCATCAATTGGATCCTGGAATTTTCATCGATTGAAGGGAAAATAGCACGGTTTCTGGTGAAGATGTTCGCAACAAAAGCAATTCTGAGGACGAAGGCCACCACAGTGGACAAGGAGCTTTTTGCGCTTGGGCACTCGGGGTAGAGGTCTGACAGATGGGAAGAACTTGAATTTCTGATGATGTTTCTGGTGAAATAGGATGATTCACCAGTGATTTTTTGAGGCAACGATAAAAGCATGTTTGGACCACTCGCTTATTTTTTCACTCCGGGAAGCAAACAGCACCCATTGATGGATGATTTTGCCAGCTATAACCCTCCATTTATAGTATAAATAGGGGACCTCCGTCCCGCTGTGATGAAAGGAGAAGGACTTGGCAAATGCGGTAGAAGCCCTGGCACCATTGCAGGAGGAGGGGGAGTTTTTTGTTGGATTTAAGGCGGAGTCAATGGGGATTTCATGGGATATTCATTGGGGATATTCGGATATTCATTGGGGATAGGGGGTATACTGGGGATAATGATGGGATATGTTATGTACATATAATTTGGAAAACCCTCCATTGGAGACATTTGCTGGTTATTCAAACAGGATGCTCTTTGAAGATTCATAATCTGAAATCAATGTTTGATACAGTCGGGTGATCAAGAGTGATAGTGCAACATCCCCAGAAGCTTTTCACATTCAAATCCCCAATTGTAGGGGATTATTCCATGGGTAAATAAGTTTACTGAAGAGTAATATATGATATATATATAATAATAACAATAATAATAATATAATAATAATACTAATATATATATATATAATGATATATGTATATAATAATAATATATATATATAATAATATATATATATAATAAATAAATAAATAAATAAATAAATAAATAAATAAATTAAATAAATAAATAAATAAGTAAATAAATAAATAAATAATAATAATAATAAGAAATAGTAATAATAGTAATAATAATAATATGTATATATATATATATGTGATTAAACTTGAATCATGGTTCTGAGCGAATCTCACCAACTATGGAACATGACCATTTTTTATCGGAAAATCAAGGACTTCTATGGCCATTTTCAATAGCAAACTGGCGCCGGAGGAGAAAACACTAGAGATTGAACGTGTGCCTCGGGCACCGGCACCTTCAAAAGAGCTCAGAGCTGAGTGGTGATGACAGATGACGGGTTTAGACTTTGAATGTCGAGCTAGTAACTAGCAAAACCTTAGGAAAATGATAGCAACTAGTAAAACCTCGTTCAAAGTCTCAAATCTTTGAAAACCTTGGGAACCACAGATTTTGGCACCTCGGATTGTGATGAATCCCAGGTCTTTTTGACAAAAAAAACATCATTTGGCGGGTCGCTGTGAGGCCGACTGCAACATCAGAGGTTGAGGCAGAAGACCAGAACTCGCCCGAGGGCCCAGTGGATCCAGTGACAGATTCGACAGATGGCGCAGTGGGTCAAGCATTGGCGCGCCACAACCCACAGATCCTGCGATTGAGCTTAGCAGCGCAAATGAAGCGAGCACCAACAATGGAGCACTGGAAAAAAAATTCTCTAGTTTTTTATTACTTGGGTATGGGTCAATACCTATTAATACCATTTTTAGTGGGATGAACATCCATTTACCAGCTATTTTGATGTTCACCAGGGTACATGGGTTTTGACCCATCCCCACTTGATCAGGGCTGAAACGCATAGAAATTGCTGTGTCCACCGTTGACCCATGTTGACCCCAGAAGTGAGCAGACTAGCGCTCTCAGCAGACTTGATTGATTTCCAGGCGCACGCGAGATTGCAATTCCTGCTTCGACGGTCCCTTGGTTCGAAGCAAAAATCGCAGGTGTTTCCAGGATGGTGTAGTTGGTTTATAACTCCAATGTCACTATGGTTTATGGTACTTATAACTATAGTTATTGGGGCTTATATATAAACCAACTAACTTATAACGTTTGGGGGCCCCACAGTCTAGTAATGTTTTCTCCAGTGGTTATGATTTTGTGTGTCTCCGGTGAGATGAAGCCAGAGATGATCAAGAACTGGGACCCCTCCTGGCGGGATACTCCCGTTGATGGTTTAGCCTTGTGACCAAGGCTGCATGAAACTGATGCGATTGCGAAGAAGAAGCGACTGATGCCAGAAAAGATAGCGCCTTGGGTGCAAGTTGACTGAATCTAGTTGAATGATGCATAAATATGTGGTTTGAATGGTGACTTTTCAATTGAGCTAAGTATCTAGAGGTTCATGTGGCAATGCTCTATCAACTGGTAGATGATAGCGGTCATACGACCAAGTTATACAGTTGTACACTGGTTGGTGGTTTGGAACATTTTTATTTTTCCATATATTGGGAATTTCATCATCCCAACTGACTCATACATATTCAGAGGGCTAGGTCAACCAAGTACAATGTTTTCCAGCTTCAGAAGGGACGATCTTGGGGATAGTGAGATGACCATAGCCCATTTATGACCAGCTTGATCATGATTGTATATGGGGCTGATGCTGCTGATGATTGTGAATCATAGCCTCAGGTAAAAAAGCTCCATGGCATGCTGGAAAATCCTTCATTGTAGTTTTTTTTCCATCAAAACCTTCAGTTAAAAGCATCTTCAATTGCCATGCTTACTTACCAATAGGATATATCACATGAGTGTGTTTGAACATGGGGTATACTCCCCCATTCATGGCAATAAAACCATGGCTTTAATGTTGTTTGTCACACAAGATCAACATCTCAGGTTATTATTTTTTTCCCTGGACCCCTAAACGCTGCGTACACAACGAAGTGTTGGAGTTCAGAGTGCTGCAACTCATGCGGTTCTGATTTTTTTTCAAGCTCCATGGCTTCCTAGAAAATTCCCTATTCAGTTCGATGATTTCCATTGATTTCCCTGCGATTTTCGCATTTCAAATGCCCAAAAACCATGTTCGACTGCAGGATGCTGCGCTATGCCCTGCGCCGCCGGTTTAACGTGTAGCGCTGGGCGGGATGAGTCGATGGGGAGTCGACTGGTGACTCTATGGGGACATGGCTAGAGATTATATGATGATACTTGATATGATACTTGGGGATCACATGATCATCTTTTGGTCGTTCAAAAAACGATGATTTGGGGGTCAAATTGATGCATTCTGGAGACTTTTTCGGGAAAAGGGTCGTGTTTTTTTGTATTTAAAGACACATTTCCATGTGGAACATTCAGAATGCACACGAATCTCACTCGAAAGGCTGAGGGTTCCTCATTGGCTTTTAAGCCATGCCTTTCCAGCTGGGGGATACTGGTATTTCAAACGAATTTTACAAGTCCTGAAGTGGGGCCAGATGTTTTCAGCACTTGGCAGTTTCAAGTCCGTGGCAAAGAACACTTTGGACGACCGTTCTGGGACCTATGGTGCCTCTGGTACCTATCTTGGCCTTGTAGGAAAAAATCATCAGTTGGTGGCCATGATCTCGATATCTTCAATTTTTGAGGCTCAGGTTTTCCTGTGATTTTCCCAGGAAAAAACAAGGTCCCGGGTAAAACAACACAGCAGTTGAAGTTAGAGAAGCAGCGCAGCTGATCAGCTGAAGTGGCCAGTTTGCTGCCTCTCATTGCTTGGATGCTGTTTTTGCTGCACGTCTCTGGCATCCAAGCACTGCTGCGCCACATGGGTGTGTCTGAAGATTGGGACACCCCAAGCCATGACGGTTAAAAAGGATGTTGTAGGAAGGAAGATCATTGATGGACAAAAAAGATCTATGAATCTATGAAGATCATTTAGGAAGGATAAGCCTTTCAGGAAGATCATGACAACAATTTCTTGGATGAAAATTCTTGGGCTATTTCCCTTTTTTGAGACACGCCCAATGATCCATTGATCATAGTTTCGGTGAAAAGGATGCAGATTCAGATGGCAAAGCCTGACCGACTCGACTTCTTGAACTGAGATGTGCCATATAGTTATACAACCATAGATGTCCTTTTCCCATTGGTTGGTTGATTTAAAACGAGGGTTGAAGGTTTACCCCTTTAACAACAGGTAAACGATGATTAAGAACTGGGATATATAAGTTAAAAAACCCTGGGCGAACGGTTGGGTTGTAAGATGTTATAAGAATAGAAAGCCACTGATTTTCACCAGTTGTAGAACTCCATCTGCAGCTTATCAGACTCTCAAGACTTGAGAGTTTTTTCCAGCAAAACCATAACATCCATGACCTCAGCTGAAGTATTTCGTTTTTTTTTTTACCACATGAATTGACCTCAAGTCTCCCAATTCTCCCAGCCCCTGGCGCGGCGGTTTTTCCACCACGGCCATGTGTGTCCCGACTCGACGCAATGGCGTTTGACACGCATGATACTACGTCGCCGGTGTCGCAGGGTCAGGGAGAAGTTGTTGTGACTCAGTTGCAGCGGCTTTTTGGGGAAACCATGGAGTTTCAGGATGAACTGGCAGGAAACGAAGGGTTTTCAACTGTGAAACATCAGTTCAAGCAGTTGACTGAGCCATGAATCATCAGGAAACCACAGGAAAACCCACATTTTTCGACCATGAATGAGGAAACCAGGAGTTGATTTTTTTTCATGACATTTGGACATGGGCAGCCGAAAATAGGTCCCAACAATGGCCTTCACATCCAAGAGGGTTGATGTATTGATTCGTCGAGGCTTCCTTTCCCGAATCTACAAGGTGGTGGTTTTCCCAGTTATAAATGGATTATCATCCCATGATAGAACTAGTTCGATATAGCACCTATAAACCTAATCCAATGATCTCATCATATAACTAGTTCGATATTCCATTGTATAACTATATGATTCATATTATCAGTTATAAATTTATAAATGGATGATTTCATCCCATGATACAACTAGTTCGATATCCCATGATACAACTAGTTCGATATCCCATGAAAACTAACTAGTTCGATATATTCCATATTCCACTATATCATAGTTACATGGGATTAGTGTATATCACATTATATCACTATAAAGCATGGTGATATACCACTAATAAACCTATATCACCAACAAAAAGCATCGTGGCATTGGACCGCCTACAGCTTTTTGGCTGTGGTGAAACCTACCATCCCCGACAGAAAGCCACGAAGTTTTGCGGTGTTTTACTATGACATTCTGTGCTGCCGTCACATGTGCGGCTACAAAATAGAGTCATAAAGAAAGTTTCTAAAAGCAACATGTATATAAAATGTATCTATAGTTATATATATACATGTGATATATATATATATATGTGATATATATATATATGTGATATATATATATATATTTACGTATTTTGTTCATCCTGAGCTGTACGTATATATCATCACGTTTCTTGGAAATATTCCATGCTTCCGAATCTCTCCATGCTTTGGCCCTCGATCGGAGCTTCGCTTAGGTTTATGATGCTGAGCAGGCATCTTTGGCAGAGGCTGAAGCTTGTTGGGGCGTGGTTCCGGCGACCGGTCTTTCTGAACATGGGTGGATTTTCCATGCTTTTCCGATGATGTAGAGCCGTTTTAGCGATTTTGGTCTTTTTTTTAAAATGGAATTTGATGAACCATCAATTTCTAGGGAATTTGATGATGAACCATCAATTTTCTCTTCTTTCGCCTCCGTATTTTTGGTTCAGACACAACCCAGCCACTTGGTGACCATGGTGGTTGACGAAGCCAGGAGTTTGCCTTGCAACTTCAAGAGCAAGCCGCAGCTGGGCTATCATAGTTATCATATATCGTATATTCCATATAGTTATCTATCATGGATTATGACATATCATAGTTATATAGTATATCAATGTTTTTTCATACTCTAGTTATATTCAGAGGATCATACTTTTTATACTATATCATCGTTGTATTGGATGTAAAAGATCTTCAATATCTTCTATAGATGATCACAATTATGTAGTATATCATAGTGATACTTATTATCTTCTATATACTATATATATACAATATAATATATTATCACTATATATATATATCATAGTGATATTTGATGTTGTAATCCGTCTTCCGACTTCCCAGAAAAACGGGGAGCTGCATGGGGAGCTGCTAAGAGCTGTCTGAGGAGCGAGAGCAGGCTGAGTTGGAGTTGGTCAAGGTGCGGAAACCAACGAGTCGGGTGACTTCGTGGGATGCGGGAAAAGATGCGGAAACCAACGGTTCAGAGGGGTACCCCCCCAATTTTCAGAACCCTTTGAGATGGATTGTGAAATTGTGAGTGGCGAAATGCTTGCTGCTTTATGGTTGATATTTCACGAACTAGTTGAACAATGGGGGTTTTGTTGTGGTTCATGAACCAGCAAACATAACTGGGGGGTCCCCATCCTGTAGTTATAAATGGATTAAGCCTACTTATCCCATTGAAAAAACCAGTGATTCTTAAACCTAGGGGATAAAATCAACAAACATCACAGGGGGGCACCATTTTCCCAGTGATTTTCCCCCCGTTTTCCCCCACGGTTTTTCCACGTTTCGCTGCCCAGGCAGCCGTGGGCACCATCTTTTCCGTCCGAAAGCCCCGGGATGCCGTGGCGGGCACCGCCAGCGGTCTAAAGACCATGGCGAGGTGAGAAGTCCCCAGTTTTGGGCCGCGAAACATGGGGGATACCCTCTGGTAATTTAACATAGCTATTGAAAATGGCCATTTATAGTGGATTTTCCCATTAAAAATGGTGATTTTCCATGGCTATGTTAGTTTACCAGAGGGTATATGTCTGTTAACAATTGTTCACATCTATTTATGTATATATATATATTACATATGGTTAATAGTTAGTAGTTATCAAGAGTTGTAGTTATCGATAGTTTTGAGCTTATTGTTAAAGAGTCATAAACAATATTAATATTGTACTGAATAGACATAATTATCATCTATAAATCATTATTAAATAATAGGTATAGTTGATTGTTATCAATTTAGTAGTTATACACCTCATAGCTATCAATAGTTTTCGAGGTTATCAATTATCAATAGTTACATAATAGTTATGGTTATCCATATAATGGTTATATGGCTGTAAGACTAGTAACTATAGTCACTGGTTAATAGTTGATAGTTAATGGTTATACTTATATAGTGGTTATATAACGGGACATTGACAATACTTGTTTCAGGTGGTGAAACTGAGAACCTCTCCGGTGGCGAAGATTCCAGCGATTGGATCAACATCCACATGGTGGTGCAACCCTCTGGTAATTGAACATACTGTGAATGGTTGCGAATTCCTGCACCACCAAAAGGATGGTTGAAGCCCAAAAAAGAACGTTTGGGGTGTTTACCATCTATCAACTGGTGCAGGATTTCGCTGACCCATCCACTGTAGCTTTTGTAAATCATCGAAAAAACTGTGGAAGATGATGACCGGTGGGATGGGGTGAACGCACCAGATGGGCTTGGTTTTCAGCACCGTTGGGATGGGGTCTTGGCTTCAGCAAAAGATTGGATGATTGTAGATTCAGTCCAACAGGCTGTTTTTTTTTTTTTTAATGGGTTATACCAAGGGTTGTCTTGACCCAGGAGGGATGTGCGTTTGAAGCAACATCTGTGGAGATCATCACGGGACATGCAGAGATGAACTGAGGATCCACAGATGATTTTTAGTCATTGTGAAGATCCAGACATGCAGCAACAGCTTAGTTTGAACCGTCATCACCACCACCACCACCACCACCACCACCACCACCATCAGCATCATCATCATCATCATCATCATCATCCTCATCATCCTCCAATTTTGACATTTGAAGCAAATTTGCGTTTTCTTGTGTTACCCTCTGGTCAACCAACATAGCTATGGAAATTCACCATGCTATTAATGGGTAAATCACTATTTCTATGGCCATTTTCAATAGCAAACTGCAACAAATTACCAGAGGGTAGATATCTTACCATTCGATGGTTTCCATAGTCATGGGGGTACTCCTTTATCGCTGGATGTTTTATTTCATGGAAAATCCCACAAAGAACAACATGCGGAACCATTCCAAGCAGCACAGTGGAACCCTTTTTTGCATCTTCTCTGCAGGGGTGTTGGAGTGGGCTTGGCATCGCTTGTCACGTTGCCGGCCATTGGCGCCAAGACAGGTGGCATCAAGGCGTAAAAATCGGAGGGATGGGAACCTAGGCAAAAATGGTGGTTTTTATGGTGTTTTTTATGGTGATTTGATGATGGCAAAAATGGTGTTCTTTATGGCAAAAATGGTGGTTTTTATGGCAAACATGGTGATTTGGTGATGGTTAGAAGCTATCTTTTGGTGATTTTCATGGTGATTCCTAACCAAGATGTGACACATGGATACACATGCCTTATTGGATTGCCAGATGGCAAAGTGAAGAGTTTCGATCATCACTCAATGTGTTTTTCCAAAGATGATACTCGTAGCTCTTTAAACCAACAATATCCAACAATCAATTTGTTCAATTTGCATCTAGAATCCAAGACTTAGATGAATCCAAAGTCAAACTCCCACTTTTCCCATAGATTTCCCATAGATTTCCCTGGAACAAATGGGCCAAACATCCCAGGGCTTCGCGAAGGGCTGCGGCACGGGCCTAGCCACCTGCGTGGGCAGCACGGTGGCGGGGACGTTAGTTGGATCCGGTCGGGGTCTCTCAGTTGGTTTTTTTTTTCAGGTGGTTTTAGGTTAGTTTAGTAATATCTAATAATACATAATAGTAGTGATCATCAAAATATAATAGTAGTATATAATCTAGTAATATTTAGTTTTTTCTTCAGTATCTAATAACATCTAATAATATATAATAGTAGTGATCATCATAGTATAATAATAGATGCTAATAGTAGTTCAATTAGTTTAGAGAAAGTTGGTTTTAGGTTAGATGTTTAGTCACTAGTCTATTTTTATGTTGAATTAAACTAAGTTTTGTTCACTGAGTTTGAGTTGAATTTTTGTTCGGCTGCTGATTTTCCCATGCTGAAAAAGTGGGTAGTAACTTAGTATGGATGGACAATGGCAGACATAGAGGTGAAGAATGGGGCTTTTGCGCCCCAAAAGGATGCTTGATCATCATATTGCCGAATGGCGAAACAAATCGAACTCTTGGAAGAGCTGGATGATCAATGATGATCACAATGACAAATGGCATCAAATGGCCATCCATGGGAGGTTTGAAACTGCCAGTTTTTGTTGCGCCCAATGGCCATCCATGGCCGAGGTCAGATTGTGCGTGGTGTGGTGAACACGCCCAGTGCCATCGTGCGCACGGCGCGGGGAGAGGTGTGGAACACGGAAACGCGCAAGTGGGAGAAGGAGCGCCGAAGTGGTGAAGTCGCAAGGTGCTGGAAGAACTGCGCAATTTGCTGATGCTTTTTTTTTTTAACCCGGCCTGGTCAACATACAAAAAACTATGGAAAATCATCATTTTCTATGGGTAAATCAACTATAAATGGCCATTTTCAATAGTTAATGGAAAGATCCACCATTTTTTTAATGGGAAAATCCACTTTTTTAGATCTTTTTTCTGCGAGGACTGGTACTCGTTGCCGGAAGAAGCTGCTGAAGTCCTTGGAAGCCAGAGCGAATTGAACGAAGAGGCGAGCGATTTTGGTGAGCCGCGCTTGAAATGTGTGTCACGGTTACAATTAGTGAGGCCCCCGTTTGATGTCTAAGTTGGTGCAAATAACTCCAATGTCACTATGGTTTATGGTACTTATAACTTATAACTATAGTTCCTGGGGCGAATCTAAACCAACTTATAACTGGGGGGCCTCACATTGTAGGAAAGTCTTGTTTACTCTGCTGTTAAACCGACCGATTGAATACAGGGAAAACCCTGGCCAGGCAGGTCGTCGCGATAAAACCCTTGCAGTTATCATATTTAGGATCTAATTTCAGGCAATTTTTGGGATCAAGAAATTTTGAGTCATTGCCACATACGCCACATGTTTGGTGATATTCCTGATGTTATCCTTATCCCCCAAATTTTTGATATAACTGATGCAACCAGCAATCTAAACCATGCGCAGATCATGCATGCTCTATGTAGCTACGTTTACCCCGAACATCATTCAAACAATTTCCATGTTTCCAAGTTTTCTACCCTTGTGATTTGCTAATCATTATCGATGGCGAATATTCCACGATTATCCCAGCTACTCCAATTGACGGTGAGTCAAGTACTAGACTATACTTCATCCCTAAGTTGGTCCTCTGATATATCCCATAGAAAATCCCACTCTACTCCAAACATCCCATAAAACCATGAAATCCCCATGAAATCCCCATAGAAAATCCCCATAAAAACCCCACCGGTGACAACTGGAGCCAGGCTCAAAGCAGCCGACCCTCGCGACCCGCAAGGAAGGTGGCACATCGTGAGCTCTACGATCTGCTAGGTGTACCTCCTGAGGCAGTGGGTGTGGGAAAATGGGGCACCCCCAAAGTTGATGATTGATCATCAATATATCATCAATATATCATCAATATATCATCAATATATCATCAATATATCATCTATCTGTATCATCTATATATCATCTATATATCATCTATATATCATCAATATATCATCTATATATCATCTATATATACATAATATATATAATTATATATTTATAGGAAAATGATCTAATGTTTCACACACCTGACATGTTATGGGCCATGTTTTCTTTGATGATTCCGATATTTCATATGATGAGTTTCCCAAAGTGGGGCCCGTACGGTACCATGGATGAAGCCATGGGAACTGGACGATTTTCAGTGATGGGAGATCTTGGGAGCTATAGATATCCACGTTAACAAAAACCACCTGCGAGTTGCCGCTCAGAATGGGCATGCCCCAATCATTGGGCAAAAACAGCACCTGGACATTTTCGGATGACAAAAAAACACAAAAAAAAGCCACACATTTAGAGGACTTGACTAGTAGACTCGAACCCTTGGTTTTCGTTTCTTGGGACCCCGAGATCAGGCCGCTGAGTCCGAGATCCGCCGGGCTTTTTACAAGAAGAGCCTGGTGCGAGCCCCGGCAACCGACGTTGCGTCAGGGCACTTTTTGAAAAACGTGACGTTGCGTCATGGCACGGCACGTGAGGCGTTACATCCAGACAAGAATCCCGACAATCCAGAAGCCACACGGCAGTTTCAGGTGGAACTGATGGGAGACGGAGCTGCTGATTTTAGGATGTGACTGGGGTCTTTTTGTGCATTTTGTTGAACTTCGAATCCCCAAAAAAGCAACAAAAAACCTGTAGGTGGTAAGAGTGAAAAGGTCCTTTTAATTACATCCTTTTACGTCCTTTTACATCCTTTTACATCCTTTTACATCCTTTTACATCCTTTTAAATCCTTTTACATCCTTTTACAACTTTAAAGAATTTTGAAATATCTTTTCAGCTTGCCGTTTTGTTTTGGTGAAGCGCTTCATACCTGGAGTGGTCAGATGTCAGGCTGTCAGCGATGCGTATCGAATTCTGGGTGATGAGGAGAGAAGGCGACACCATGAAGCGTCAAAGAATTACATCAGTCAGAATATGTACATATACATGATATGTATGTACATATACATTATATGTATGTGAATATATGTGAATGTATGTGAATATATGTGAATATATATATATACATACACATTATCATGTGGTAACACTAAAAAAACGAAGGAACAGTATCATCCTACTACACGTTGGATCCTGTTGATGGCGCGTCAGGCGAGCTTACGATGAGTTGGGCAAGGACCGTTTGGCGATCCGCTGTGGTTTTTGTCATAGCAATGTTCAGACCGAAGGGACCACAGATTTCCATGAAAACCACCTAGCCCCTATGGTTATGGAAATATATATATATATATATATTAGTGATATGGGATAATAATGGGATAATATGATATGGATAATGGGATTAGCCTCCAGTAAATTTGTTAGTTGGACCCTGAAAATCACAAATTGATAGTGGAAACTAGTCTTCCAACCCCCATGACTGCCAGGGTCGTCATGTTAATTTACTGGAGGGTATTTATTGGGACCCAATTTTGACCCTATACCCATCTCCCGCATATTTCATAGTTGACGTAGGCGCTACCTCCAGAGATGCCGACCCTGATGGCCACATCTTTTCAGAAGTTCTAATACCTGGGTTTTGACCTGTTCCCATTTTTTTTCAAGAATGAAGGATACCCCAAAGGGCCCCAAAGTTGCAATTTTCATGGGGAAGTAGGTGAACTATGGATTTGTGGTAGATATATCATGATATATCTGTAGTAAATGGGTTTATTGGGATAAGTCCAGGTACTTCATTTTCAGCCGAAGCCATACTTCACCTTGCTTCACCAGTTAAACAGAGGACACAGCAGCTGCGAACTTGCCCAAGATCGAGTTACTCGGTCTTGAGCTGCGGAGCTGAAGTATTAAATATCCCCAAACTTGAATGCCTTTAAATTCTACAAGTTGTTGCTATTGAAAAAAGAGTAGCCTCCGGCAGACTTATAGATATTATTTTTTTCATGGTTTTCCACGCAAATTATCCACTTTCATGGCTTATCTGCCATTTCTATGTTAATTCACTTGGTGTAATTTCCAGCATTGAAGGGAAACAATTCACCAAAAAAAAACTGAACATCCAAAATTTATTGCGGGGTTTTAAAAGAAATACGAGCTTTGCGACAGGTTTTCCATGAATCTTTTCAATTCCTATTGATTTTCCTATCGATTTTCCCCTGATTTTCCCATGGATTTTCCATGATTTTCCATGTTTTTCCATGATTTTCCCATGATTTTACCATGGGTTTTCCATGATTTTATCATGGTTTTCCATGATTTTCCCATGGTTTTCCCATGGTTTTCCTATGGATTTTCCCTTCCCCTCCGTGTTGTCCCGGGACCTAAACGACGTCGAGGCCCGTGGTGTTCTTCGCCGCGCTCTTCGGGACGCATCACTTCGAGCCCTACGTGGGACGACTGCGGCTGGCGCAAGATGTGGATAGCGATGTGCAGCCGGGAAGCTGAGGATGATATGGTGGAGTCAATGGGTTTTTTTTAAGGATTTCATAGTGATTTGATGGGAATTTCTATGGGTTTTCATGAGATTTGATGATGATTTGATGGGAATTTTATTGGATTTCTATGGGATTTAATGGGATGAGATCTGATTTTAATGGGATTTTCCATGTGATTTTAGGGAATTGGATGAGGATTTTGAGTGATTTCATGGGATAATACTGTACATAATTTGATGGGAATTTTCATGATTCGATGCTAATTCATGGGGGATTTGGGGATAATGGGCCTAACAAAAAAATGCTACTGATTGATGTCGTAGGGAAGCTAATTTTGTTGATCCACGGGAATTTATCATAGGGATTTTTGGTGATTGAATGGGATGATATCATTTATGATATTGAATGGGAAGCTGAGTTTGATGGCGATTTTTCACGGGCATTTCATGGGGAACCAACACGAATTTCGAGAAAACACTTGGACAACTAGGGCAACTTGGACTTTATGGTTGTTCGATGGAGATTTTGGGATTAATAATGGGATATGCACAGCAAGAAACGATGGTGATTCAACAAGAAATTCTGGAAAAAAACCGGGAAAAACTAGGGACTTAGTGGTGATTGGGGATTTAGTGACATAATGGGCATTGGGTATAACCAAATTGTTGCAACAACTAGTTCCAAGTGGCAAACATGGAAGACAGGAACTATGACATTAAACTTAAATACATCCACATACCAAACATGACATGCTTCATGTTCTGGTTGGTGGTTTGGACAATTTTTTTCATATCTTAGGAATTTCATCATCCCAACTGACGAACTCACTCCATCATATTTTTCAGAGGGGTAGGGTAAGTCAACCACCAAGTCAGGTCTATGTTGCGGGAAATTGTCGCAGCAGAAGAGGAGGACGCTGGACAGCTTGACCTTCTGAAGGTTGGAGCCCGGAGTCAGAAGAACGGCCTTTTGAGCAGAAAAATGGGGATTGAACTGGGATAATAGTTGATAATATTCAACAATAATGGGGTTTTATGGGATTGAAACTGGGATAATAACCAACAATTCTCCCATTTTCTGGTTTTTTTTCTTTTTAGAACCGGATTTTACGGGATGATAAGCAACAAATCATGGGATTGAAGCCTTGGGAATACCCCTTTGGGGAATGAAGGATATGGGATAATTCATCACTAAGATATCATTCATCACTATAGCTATCATACTTTCAGTTGATGGTTGATGATTATATGAAATTATATGATTGTATGGGATGATCTCGTTGAATCTAATCCACGATAATCCAATATTGGGAAGCTTTAATACCCAACCGTTTTCTGGAATATAACGAGATAATGATGGGATAGACCTTTCCCCAAAAATATCATATTTGGGTTCGTCCAAAATTGTTGGAGATACTCCAAGCTATGCAGTTCTACTTGAGGAAAGGATGAGATCTCAACCTTGGGACATTAGGTACCCCCCATTTCCAGAAAAGCCTCATTTCACCTTAGACCGTCTAACAACGTTCATCAGCAGCGTTTTGCATCGCAAGCACTGGATCCATGTCTGGTAGGTGTTGGGTATTTCACAGAGATGTATATTCAACAAAACTCATTCTGGATTGGCACAAATATGTTTTTTTTTTTCAGAATCATGGGTAATATATCACATCTATATGGGTAGTTCAAACACTTTTCTTGGATTGGCACAAGAATTCTTTATTTTGATGCGCTGACCCACATGCAGCAAGATCAGATGGCCAGGTGAGTCGGGCGCACAAGCGCATGCAGGTCCGCAGGGCCCGCAGGGCCCGACCCTTCTGGGACCCTTTGGGAAACATGTTGACATGTTGACGGTTGGGAACAGAAAAGTGGCTGTGCTGGCCGAAAAACGCCAGACTCATATTTGATCAGACTGCTGCATTTCTGCTGTCTTGCACACCAAGTCTTGGTGTTTGTGCAGACAAGGATCGTGAATGTTGCAGCGCAGGGCCATAATAAATTGGAGAAAGTAGCAGAGATCAGGATGCCAACGAGTCAGGAGGGTAACTGATCCCTCCAGAATCTGTTGTGAAAGTGGGCAATGTTTTGGTTCCTGAAAGCCTACCGACCTTATTCCTTGTTCTATTGAAAAATCCTTCTGTCAGGAAAATGGCTTTGGTTTCCTTTTCTTTAAAATCCAAGGAACGGGACAAAAACATAGGGTAATTTATACATTTTTATATTAACTTAAATAGGGATACTCATGAGATATCATTGTTTTTTTTTGTGTTTTCATGGGATTTGAATGGATTTCAGAAATTTGATGAGTAATCCCTTCCGATTTTCAACCCAAATGAAGCCCCTTGTGGAGCCCCTTCTTATCCTGGCGGAGGTGCTGGAGAAACGCCGGCAGGTGCAATGCGCAGTCGACCTGGCTCAACGTCGGGGATCTGAAAAAACAGTCCCAAAATGGGGATTATGGGAATATGATGGGAATATTGTGGAAATGATGATGATGATGACGATGATTCTTATTATTGTTCTTATCATTGTCTATTATAATCTACATAATGTATTCTTATTACTATTATCATTACTATTATTGCTAATAAAATATTATTATTATTATTGTCATTATTATTATTATTTATTATTATTACATACAATAATATATATATATATACAATATGCATCCACAACTTCTGGATATAATGGTGTAAGTGACCATCCCCCCACTTTTTGAGACATACCAAACTGATAGACAGACCTATGACCTATGCAGCAGTATCTCCGGACTCCAGCGAAGATTCACAGGTTTTCACCCAAGTTGATGGGGTGCGAAACCATGATTTCCGGCAGTTCTTGTTTGCCATAAACCAAGGATGTCCCAAGATGTTCATCCGATTTCCCATGGTTTTCTCCACTTTTCCGTGTCTTTTTTGGCCCGCTTTCAAGGCCTAGAACCAGTGGTTGTGGCACCAAAGGAATCGAAGAAGCAGGTCCCGCCATGCGGCCGGGATGGATGCCGGGGAAAAAACCCGGTGAAAAAGGATGGAAAAACCCATTAGTTCCGCTTTTTGGAACTAGTCTTTTTTTTGTGGACATGAGTGTAGTTTTCGGATTTTTGGACATGGGTTTGTCTGAAAATAGTGTACCCCCACACCCAATGGTTAATGATCATTATCCCTACTAAATGGCTATAATTGGGAGTATACCCCATTTCCAGACATACCCACATGACTGTAGTTTTTGGAACACGCTCCCTTTTTTTTTGGAGTAGAAGTGTCACAACCGTCGATTTCCGTGGTTTTTTTTGAGGCGTGGGAGCAGTGGGAAGCCGAACGACGGGCAGAAGTGCAGCGCTTGGCGCAGGCTCGGTGGCTCCAATGGGTACCCTCTGGTCAACATACAAAAGGCTGTTAAAAATGGCAATTTGTAGTGGATTTACCTATGAAAAATGGCCATTTATAGTGGATTTACCTATGAAACATGGCCATTTGTAGTGGATTTAGCCATAAAACATGGTGATTTTCTCTAGTTTTTTGTATGTGTACCAGAGGGTACTTGACAATGGATCGATTTTCCACGGACAATCAGGGTCAATGATTTGATGATGTTGCATCCGGTCATCATGGATTTTTTCCCCAAAAAGAAGCCGACCTTCTGGGAATCCAACCTGGCAGGTGCCCTCTGGGCTTGAGATGCTGTACCATATCGGTTGGCTTTATGTCAACGGTGCTCAGCAGCTTGCAGCCCAGGGAGACGGACTTCATGGCTCATGTGTCAACTTGTGGATGGATATTTCGGAAGGAAGAATTGAAGACATACCCTCTGGTAAACATACAAAAAACTATAGAACATCACAATTTTTAATGGGAAAATCCACTACAAATGATCATTTTCAGCAGCCATGTTAGTTTACCGGAGGGTAGATTCGTTGAGGTTCATTTTGAAATCACTTTATACAGAAGCTTTTCTTTGGACGATTTTTCAAGAGGATGGGTTTTGGACTTTTTCGGATCACAGTCAAAGCTTCCTGGATGGGTTCTGAAGGTGGTTGGCTGGCAGTGCGCTACGACGGCTCTCAGCCAAAGTTGAAGCCAAAGTGGTGACTCCCAGAGTGACTGCAGACCAGTTCTGCTTCGATTCAAACTTTCACCACCGAAAAAAAACGGGTTTTGCTGTGTTTTGCTCATGGTCCGGCAGCCATTTGGGGATGGGTCAAAACCCTGGTACCTAGTGAACCCCAAGTCATAGCTGGTAAATGGATGTTCATCCCACTAAAAATGGTACTTATAGGTATTGACCCATAGCCATTTTTCAACAGATTGGGGGCCAAGTCTGTTGAGACCCGAAACGACGACCATCCCGTGGTCCCGCGGTCCCAGAAAGTCGTCTTCGCTGAGTTGATGGGTCCTAGGCGCACTTGTTGAAGTCCAAGGGGGAGCTTGCGGCCGCCGCAGGACGGGTGGATGGTCGGGTGGTAAAACCATGGTTTTTAAGCCAGGGAAGATCAGGAAATCATGGGAAATCATGGTAAATCATATGGTAAATCATATGGTAAATCATGGTAAATCATTTGGTAAACCATGGTAAATCATATGGTAAATCATGGTAAAATTCGAAGATGGGAATGGGACATGGGTGAACCTGTGTTTTTTCTCCTACCCTTGAATTGGTTCCTTGAAAAATCATGATGGTCCTGGAGGGGTTGTAGTACTGTGCTACATTTTCAAGCAAAACCGGGGAATATAAGAGGCCCCCAAATCAGGTTGGGCATGTTTGGCTTTGGATTTCTACTTTGCACGTTTCTACCCTCTTTTTGAACGTTTGCTGCCTTACGGTGTTTCACTCCCCAAGAATCGTTTTTCCTTCTTCACCAAATGATGATTCCTCCAAAATACTCGAAGAATTGACCACTAGATACATCTATGGCACCCCCAAGCATTTGCTAAGCAGTAACATCTTTGGGGCAGGCCGCACCGCCTATTCGGTGAATAGCATTGTGAAGAGCACAGAGAAGCCGGGCGCCTCTGGAACTGGCCCAGTGGATGCTGATCTCCCCCCGATTTTGTTGGGGAAAGATGGTAATGGGATGAGCACAAGAAGCCAACAACTTGACCATGGCACATGTTTTCATGCTGATGACATCTCATAAGATGACATACCATGACTTGCAAAAGGTCATCGTAGTACATCCCAGCGTTGGTATTTTCAGGGCCTTTCCAACAGCCAATCCCGATTCCTCAGTTGACAGGCTGCTGATGGATTGTCACTACTATGGTTAATAAAATGGTCCATTTGACTTTGAGTATATAAACGCATACCAAACATAATGGTACTTTTATGTTATACCAAACAAATGTAGTTATGTTATTGACATAGTATAAAATGGTTTATGACCTAATGGTGTACCAAACAAATACCATACCCAATGACAGGGTTCGGTCCAGTTCCAAGGCTTTCCCATTGTTAAATACCCCCTGGAAACCGTGGTTTAGGTGTTTTTTGGACCGCTTTTGTTGATTTTGGGTGGTTCATTGGCTGATCAATTAGCATTTGATTACAGGGGAAGAAGTTCCAGCCCTTGAACGCAGCGTTCAAGCTTCCAGGAAGAAGCAAGAGAAGGAAAAGGCAAAGGCCGAAAAGGCCGAGAAGGCCAAGAAAGAGGCCGAAGCGGCCGAAGCGGCCGAAGCGGCCGAAGCGGCCGCAGCCGAGGATGTCAAAAACTCCACTGAGTGGCTTGGCTCAATTTTTTCTGCAAAGTCGAAGGATTGGATGGTGACATATGGTGACTATGACCATCCTGGCCATCATCTGGCCATCATCTGGCCATCGAGGTCGACGGAAAAGGCCTCGAAATCCTCGTCCCACCGTGGCGCGCGCCTCAATTTTTTGGGGATCGTCCCATCCATGAAGAAATCCCAGGGAATCCACAGAGCTTGGCGATCCAACAGCTCTCCCCTAGCCGTTACCGTCTCAGGTGCCGAGGCTGGGACCAGTTCGACCCATTCGAAGGCGCAGCTGGGATTTACATCATAAAGACACCATGTCCCCACAGGTTCAAGCGCAAAAAAGGTCGAAAAAAAAGGGGAATCTTCACAAAAATTGCTGAGAGATTTATATGGGATTTATATGGGATTTACTTATATGTACTGTTGGATCTTTTTTTGGATGACTTTTGTTTGGTCACTTTGATCAATGTGGCATGAGCATCCCATGTTTCACTCATCCCCGGCCGTTTGCAGGCCGCTGCTTCGGAACCCGCAGCAGCTGGTCGCAGACCTAGAAATGCTTGGCAGAAGCTCACTGCTTCTGCCGTTGATCTCTGAAACCTTCTGACAATAATGTACACCCAAGAATCATCCCCAAATTCACGCAATTGGACCATTTTTGGATCCTCCTTCAAATTTTAGCTACGTAAAGGGGAGGACTTGGGCTACAGTACAGAATGCCAGCCAGGGGTCGTTTTGTACAAAAAGGAGGAGTTGGGACCACCTTTTTGTATTTGCGTTCATTTTGTAGTTGATTCCTTTCAAATCCTCATTTGCATTTTGTAGTTGTATATGTTGAAGTGAGAAGAGGTGGAAAAAAGGAAACAGTGCGTGACATGTACATGGACACAAACAGATCATGAAGCTACAGAATGCCATCTAACAAACTGCACGGGGTCAACACTTGATCCAACTAAATTCAATCATTGACAACTACCAAATGTTCTCCGAAATTATGTTGGTCGGAACTTTGGATGGCATAGACCCAACTACAAAATGTCATTGGGAAAAAACATGTTAGCAATTCCGATTTTCAGCTATTTTTTAACTTCAGATGCATTGGATTTTGTAGTGCTGATTTTGAATTATTTTCCGAGTCAGAAAAGGTTGTGTTCTGTATTTTGTAGCTGCAAAAAAGGTACCATGCACTGAATTTTGTAGTTGCGCAGGTTGTGCATTGCGTTTTGTACCTTCCAAAAGCCTCTGCACAACTCCTCCCCCCTTATCTGAACCCTGACATTTTTGGGGTATGGTTTACAACCATACTCCCCAAAATCATCGATTGGCCACAGCCTGGGTCCGATTTCGAGGTCCAGCGAAGCCCTGCAAGGCTGGCGCGGTGTGTGAATTGATGATCACGTTTACTGGAGCAGCTAGGCTCTAAGACATCAAGATACTGGACTTTAAAAGTCGAACGTGGATTCCACAGGATTTGTCTGGAGGGGTTTCCATGGGTTTCCATGGGATCATCATTCGAAAACCCCCAAAAACCCAAACCCTTCACGAACGTGCGAAAGGTGTATGGACCCGGCACCATTGTGATGCTGAGCAATCTCAGGCTCAGGGATGTGCTGCGATTCTTGGTCGTTTCTTTTTGACCCAACAAAACTGGGGGTTACCCTCTGGTAATTTGTTACAGTTTGCTATTGAACATGGCCATTGAAATAGTGGATTTACCCATTGATAGCATGGTGGATCTTTCCAGTTCGCTATGTTAGTCATTACCAGAGGGTACACCCATCATTTTCCTATGGTTTTCCTGTGGTTTTTTATGATGGATCATGTCTATGGGAATGTCACGCCTGGCAACTCCCATTGTGCCCGTGCTCTTTCAAAAGCAGGGTTGCTCCAAGCCTTGGGGAAATGATACCGTAACCAAGGGTGGAGAAATTCTGATCTACCTCTCTTTATCTACCCTCTGGTAATTTTAGCATAGCCATTCAAAATCACCATTTTTGAAAAGAAGCCAATTTCCATAGCTATGTGAAACCACCTCTGGGTCCAAACGTATCTCGGGTGGCCAGTTCCCGCAGGAGCAATGTGGAGCTGAACGAAGAGGTTGGTGTCATCGAACGCTTCGATGAGGAATCTGGCAGGTACATTGTGCACCTGAGTGTCGGGAATCCCAAGCGGCATAGCTGCTATAGCTTTGAGTTTGGTCCAAAACCAGTTACCCTCTGGTAAACTGTTACATAGCTATGGAAAGATCCACCATTTTTAATGGGAAAATCCACTATTTCAATGGGTCATTTTCAATAGCAAACTGTAACAAATTACCAGAGGGTAGGTTTTGTTGCGTCATTTTAAAGGGGGAACCACTTTTCCACGGGAAAAATTCATGCCATGGCTCGGTTGAAAGCCCCCATGTGATTTCCATTGGAAAGCCTGGAGCTGAGGATGGAGGACAACCCCGGAAGCTGAAAGCTGAGAATCTCATCGTGGTGGAGGAACCAACTGGTTGGGTCTGAAAATTTCGAGGAACTCCAATTTTTGGGAACATCATCAGTTTCCCAACAAGATTTAACCTCTCCATTTTCAGACAGACCCATTGTTTGCAGAAAAAGGTTTCGAAGTGAACAGCAACTTGGAAGTTGGACTTAGGATTGATGCAACTGCAATGTTTCGGCATGGTGAATCTATTCTGGATGAATTACAATGACCGTTGCAACGTCACCGGAACAATGGTCTATACATGGAAATCATCCCCAAATGGCCTTATCATAACAGCTATGTTCAGGTTAGTAGATTAATTTGTAATATATAATCATTATAATTCAGAGGTTAGTAGATTCATAATCATGATAATTCAGCCAGATTTTCTAGTTGAATTATAGCTAGCACAAAAAAGTTATGGCAGATGATTTCCGTCGCCAGATCTTTGATGCCTCGCAAAAGTCCGCAGGATCCAGAGCCAGACCCTCCAGAGCCTCAAGAGAAAGGCAGGTGGTTTGCTAAGTTCCTTGGTGCCCCGCAAGTTCTTTGGGTATGGATCAATACCTATGAAAATACCATTTTTAGTGGGATGAACATCCATAAATCCCGGCTATTTTGATGTGAACTACAGGGGTACTATTGGTTTTGACACACTGCCATTTGGCTTTCTCTAAACATGATGGGATAAGAAGCAGCACAATGTCATGAATTATCAGACTATCCTCATATTTTCCCCCAAAAAACACATCCACAGCTAAAAACCGGGTTTTCCCTGGCATAGCCCATTTTCAGACACAGCGACTCTTTGGATTTCCAGCATCCCAAGATTGGGGGCCAGCTGACAGGATCAGCATCCCAAGAGGGTCCGAAGGAAACGAAGGACGAAAAGGACTGCGGATGATGCTGTTTTGATGCCATTTCTACTGAGATTCAGACAGAACTGGAACAGTTTGGGTTCTTGTTGGATTATCACTTTCAAGATGGCGATTGACATTATGAGATTTATATGAGATTGATGTTATGATGTTTGGTATGACATTATATTGATATGATACTCGTGTATACTGTAATGATCTTTGTTGCTCTCCAATATACCATCTTGCACCCGTCAGAGAGGTTGTACTCACATAATTTTTACGATGTTGGTAAAATCACCCTGATGACTCTCCCGTAAACGTTTACGTAGACGTGGAAAAAAACCACCCCAAAGTAGATAATTTTCCGAACGGGATTCCCCATCGATTTTCCACATCTTTGTGCATGTCTATCCGGTACTGGGTACTGGGTACCTATCTCAATGGAAACTGAGCAATGTCCAAAAAGCCCGGTTGATGAGTTAATGAGTTCGGGGATCATACAATATTATACGAACCAACACATTGTGACTATAATAACCAGTGTTCGTTAGTGGAATCCCAGTGGTTTTATTTTGACACATTGAGTAGGGATTATACTAGCCAACTAACCATGACTAGGCTTATTGCCCAAGATTTCCACATCTATCTTTTCATAGAATCAGGGCATTTTTTTCCCCATTGAGCACTACAAAAAGTGAGATTACACCTTATCAAGTTCTCCACAGTGAACATCTACATCATTTACCATCTGGTTATTTAACATAGCCATGGTATAGATGGCCCATAGAAATAGATGGTTTACCTAGCTATAAAATGGTGGATCTTTCCATGGCTATGTCAGTCATAACCAGTGGGTATATAAAATTTATATATTGTTGATTTACATATATATCTATAAATTTTATAACATCTAGATGAATGATGTACATCTACATTTTATCATCTAGTGGATCATCTACATTTACATTTATATTTACTTATGTGTGGATCGCATATTGAAGCTACATCTAGATGATCGACTAGATGTACTCCTGGGGCACGTGAATTTTCTCTGTCAATCTGAATCGAATTCCAGGAGACCACAGAAGATTCCTGGGCGCCTGGAGATGAAGCGGAGATGGCAGAAGCCTTCAAGGACGATTTCAGGGGGAGAGTTTGCCATGAAAACAGTGGGATTTCACCAGGAAAACATTGGGGTTTCGTCATCAAACATTGGGATTGACCATCAAAAATGATGATTTCATGGGGATAAACATTGGGATTAACCATACCAAACATTGGGGATATAGTTTTCTGATAATTTTTCACAGTTGGCGAACTGGAAGCCATGGCCCATTTAGTTCGATGATTTACTGAACGAAAAAACATGGTGATTTCCTATAACTATGTTAAATGACCAGAGGGTGAATTTGACAGAGGACGGGATAGATGAGAGCTGTAGTACAATGATTATGGGATAAAACATGATAAAACAACATCCACCAATGAGGGATCATGGGGATATGATGGGATATGATATGGGGATATAGTGGATATATTGGATCCTTAGTCTTTTGGGGAGATTCACTGGGATATCATGGGGGTAGAGTCAACACATGTCAACATGATGAAAAGATGAGGATTATTCTGGGATTCAATCCCTGGCCAGGGGACTAGTGTGGGTATTTCGTCGATCGGCTTGCTGGTTTGCGATCCCCTGGTGAAACAGATGACTGACCAGCATAGCATGCCCAGTAGCAACCCCCTGGCAGCCCAGAAGTTGGTTTGAATTTGCTGACTAAGAGTGTCGTGATACAAAGTAGGGAAAGCACCGGAAGTGAATTTCCAGGAAAGACTACAAAGGATACAAGCAAAATGAAGGCGAACACCATTCATCACTGGAAGAAACTGGGAAGATCTTGCCCTTGGGCCTTGGGTGATGCCGGCGACCCTTGGATGGCAGGATACCATGCCCTTGTTTCATGACGCCCTGTGGAGAGTCACAGCCATTGACATTGAGTACACTCTTGCCAAAGTGATGCAGCGGGTCCTCACCTTGGTCACCAAGAAGTCCAAGATTTTTTTTTTCGCCGAGGTTTGACATGTTCTGAGTCAGGATTATGATAACTGGATAGTTATAACTGGATAGTTATTGGGTACACCTTCATTTTTAGTACACTATAACTGGATAGCTATTGGGTACACTGGGATCATTTTTTGTACACTGGGGTTGGACTTTGACTTTGACCAAAACTCTGACCTTTGCACTGCTGGTTTTCGGCTGGCTTTCATGGGGATTTCGGACCTCAGCCTGAGGTTCTCCGCGACATGTCCGTTGACAAGGCAAGCCGACAGCTTCGTGCTGAGGCGCGGAAGGTTGGGTAATTTATGGGTGATTTATAGAACCATATATAACCCCAAACAAGGTGCAGAACAGGTTTGATTTACCACTATTTTGAACAGGATGTTGTACTTTTCGATTCAGATTTTTTTTGGGGGTTGCCGCCAAAAGGGATGTAAGCTAGAGGCAACAAGGGGGATGTTCCAGGACACGCAAATGGTTGGTTGAACTGAGAGGGATGGGGAATGATGGGGATGAGTCATGCCACATCTGCTTTTCCACTTTTCCATCTTGATGTGATGAAGATCCTTCGATTTTCGTATCAGTTTCCATGGTGATTTCCGAAAACTCCTGGTCGCCAAGCCGCCTCGCCAAGGCCCTCTATCGCCTCGGCAAAATCCTTCAGGAGCCGTTGAAGGAGAAGCGCCAAGAAAAGACCTCCGGCAAGGCCGTGGAGACTGAGGCGCGGGGACCGTCACAGTTACGGAGAACACATTTTTTTATCGCTAGACACGTCCATAGAAAAAGGCTGGCAACATTTTGTTTCAAGGGCAGATTATATGATGTTTTTCTTAGTTTTATTTGATTATGGAAGCCAGTGATGAGTTGGCGGTCAATGGTTTAATGATGTTTAACGTCTTTAGTGCTTTACTCATTGGCTCACATGAATGTCAATTATCGCAAAAAGAACGTCGCAATCCCAACCATGGATAGATCCGTCTCCAGCCATTGTTCTGACATCAATGACTTCAGCTTCCTTTGATTCAGAAATTTTCTGATCAACTGGCTGGGGTTACTCCAGTGGTAGCCGCAAGTGTGAAACATGGTCCAGAAATCATCCGAAATCGAGGCGAGACATTCTCCAACAAAAACTCAGCTCATGGACATTGCCAGAAGTAGGTACCCTCTGGTAAACTGTTACATAACGAACTGGAAGATCACCATGCTATTAATGGGTAAATGATCAACTATTTCTAAGGGCTATTTTCCATAGCAAACTGTTAGTTTACGAGTGGGAAAATAGCCATGGTTTTGGATCCATTCCTGTAGAAAATACTTGACAGACCTGAGGCGCTCGTTGAGAGGCAGACAAGTTCCAGGCTGGGGATGGGCAGTTGCAGCTGAATATCTATTTCTCCATGGTGGGTTTTCAATTCACATTCCATTTTGATATACCCTCTGGTAATTTAACCTATAGCTATTGAAAATGGCAATTTACAATTTACAGTTGATTTACCCATAAAAAATTGTGATTTTCCATAGTTTTTTTGTATCTTTACCAGGCCGGGTATCCATTTTTCAAGCCTTGGTGAACTATGACACTGCCATGTCCCCATGACTTGGCCACTCCGTTCATCAGCAATGGATCAAATCAGCAATCCTTGGACGGATTTCCCGGCTTTGAACTATAGAAACCTTCATTTAGTGTATTTCCCATGATTTTCCCACGATTTTCCCGTGATTTTCCCGTGATTTTCCCATGATTTTCCCGTGATGTTCCAATTTTCCCGTGATTTTCCAATTTTCCCAGGATATTCCCGTGATTTTCCCAAAGCTCCATGGCTAGTTCGAATGGCCAGGTCAATTCTGGCCCGTTTGTCCCGCTTACCTTGGCGTTCTCGCAGACGCGACACCGAGGCAAGGTGTGGTGACTGGCAACATGTGACTGTTTTGACTGAAATTTTGGACACATCTTCTGTTTGGGCACTTCTATGCACTTCTATTTTCATGATATCTACGAATTTTGAGATCAATGGAAGTAGGATGTGTTGAACATCTGTCTTCACCATTACAACTCTGAGTTCACCTTTCGGATGGAGAAGTCTCTCTAAGCTCTGGCAGGCAAAGAGCAGGGAGCAAGATGCGAAGCAGAAGCAAATGGAGGCTGACGTTGCCCGTTGATGACCGTCCCCCAAGGAAAATCCATGACATGTGTCTGAGAAGAACCAACAAAATATGTAAGCCGGCCACAAAGATTTTAATTTGGGACTGGGTCATGCCACAATTCATATCAATTTGGGATGTTTTCGGCCATAGCAACCAGCCTGTGGGCTATGACACAGGGATGAAATGGAGCCAGCGAAGGAGCTACGGGTAGTTTCCCAACCACCTAAGAGTTATTTGGTGATTATCCCATCAGATCTCCAGTCATATCGCATAACATATCCTATTGAATAGGAAAAAGAAGTTGGGAAACCCAACTATACCAATGATCATTGTTAGGGGCTAGGGATATTAATTTCCCCACTATAACTTATATTATATAAGTCATGTTAAATTCCCATCACATCGATTATCCCATTGATTATCCCATGATTGTCCCATTGACTAGTAAAAATACAATTTTGCTTGGCTATATATCATTAATTCATATCATATTATATCCCCATTATACCTCCATTCTCTCAAGAATTTAAGGGGATGGGATAAACATCGGGGATATAACGAATTACATCATATTCACATGTAGTATTGCCCTCTGGTAATTTAACATGGCTATTGAACATGGCCCATTTATCGTGTATTTACCTGTTAATAGCATGGTGATTTTCCAGTTCGCACACTGTTAGCTTACCAGAGGGTAAACCTCCATTTTCCTATGGTTTTACTATGGTTTTCCTATGGTTTTCCCATTGAAACCTCCATTTTCCTATGGTGAATATCACGTGCCAATATCCATTGACACAAGGGACCGACGGATGGGATGTGTGGCCAGGCTGCCTTGCTGCTCATGGCGGCAGGGGCCTCCACCGACGACGTGGATGAAATGCTGGCGGCCAGGCCTGGAACTGATGGGTTGATGGAATTGAGATGAATACCCTCTGGAAATTTAACATAGCTATTGAACATTGCCATTGAAATAGTGGATTTACCCATTGAAAATTGTGATTTTCCAGTTCGCTATGTTAGTTTACCGGAGGATAACAACGATAGTTATAACAACTATATTAGAACTCATGGGTTAAGCATGATAAACTCACTTTTTCACTATACTGTAGTTAGATTTTGGTTGGAGAACTAATATCTAACTGTTGGCTTTATGGTTATCACAACCTTTTTAGATGGGCTAATCGAAGCCGACGGAAACCGCAGGTCAGCGATGGAATCTGAGTCGTTTCACGGGACCAGATGTTGAGAAACCCCTTTAGGCAGCGCCGCCGCAGCACAGAAAATTCGGATGTCATGCGGCGATCTTTTCCCCAGATTTTTGGATATACTGTATACAGTATATATATATATATCCCATTATAATGGATTATAATGGAGTTTATAATGGATTATAATGGAGTTATATATATATATAATATATATATACATAGTTTGATATATATGGATATATATGGGATATGGGATATGATTGGGGATATTTTTAACTATTTTGGGGGATATATAGTTTGATATAACTCCATATAATCCATTATAATCATCTTGGGTTTCCCGGAGGGAACTAAGGAATTCCGGAGACTTCTGGGCGTATCCGGGTGAAGCCGAATCCCCTTGGTATCTTTCGCAACTCGCCGAGTTGCGAGCCTTTGGAGCCTTTGGGGCTGAGAATCTGTGAAAAAAATGATTGACATACCCTCTGGTAAACTAACATAGCTATTGAAAATGACAATTTATAGTGGATTTTCCCATTAAAATAAAAAATGGCCATGAATCCACTGTGATCATTAATCATAAAGATGATCATAAATAATAACATCGACAATAAGCACTAATATCATTGATAATGTCAATAACATTACCCTCTGGTAAACTAACATAGTTATTGAACATGGCCATAGAAATAGTGGATTTTCCCATAAAAAATGGTGGATCTTTTCATAGTTTTTTTGTGTGTTTACCAGAGGGTACCATCTTTTTTTGCGAAGGCACATCCATCAGTGCACTCCCCAACCATCCTTGGTGTATCCAAAGCCTCGTTTTTTTTGATCGCTGCCATAGCTTTCCTCTTTCGCCATGGCTCTCAGCACCACGATTCCGTACTGTCACGGTCCATCGGAATGGCCGACGAACAGGTGGACTTTAAGGTGCGACAGACAGAGCGGAAAGGGGTGGAGCAACTCTGAGAGTTCGCGTTTTGTTGGTGTATGTCACTGGATGGTTGGGCTTATGGAAATTATGCAGTAACTCTAGATGAGTATGGCAATTTGTCTGCAATAGTCATAGTTTTTGATGAGTTGGGGCATTTGGGGGACCAGAGTCACCCATGTGGGAAAGCCTGTTTGACCAACTCCCTCGGATCAAGGGAAGCTTGCGGATGTCTCATTGACCCATGTCACTTTGCTTGAAGGTCAAGGAGAAAACCGTCCTGGCGTACTTGCTCAAAATCCCTGAGGCAGTTGATGTTGGTTGATGTTGCTGTAGTGGCTGTAGATTGAAATTTCCATCTCCAAATATCATTGGCATCTCAAAAGTATGTCGCAAAATCGAATCTGGAACTTGATGTCAGCAGAATCAAGGTAGAAAAATTGTGCGTGGAACCCCGTTGCCATGATCTGGGCTGAAAATCTTGCTCCCAACATCTCGTAAATTTGAAAACCTCATGTTCCCATATGTTCCCATCTGGCCAGAAGTTGGGGTCCCATCCCAGTCATTTTGGAAGGACAGGGGCCATTTTTCTTCTTTTTCCCCAGGGCTGGTGGCTGAAATTCCCCCGGTAGGTGGCCAAAGCCGCAGCCTTACAACGCGAAGGCAAGTCGCAGGAGCCCGGACTTGGCTCCACCGGAGTCAGTGGTGAACCGCATCATTTTCGCCACTTTTGGAGATACATGAACATGTTGGCCATAGAAATAGATGATTTTCCCATTAAAGATGGTGGATCTTTCCATAGTTATATAAATATGGTGGAATTGATTTCCAACATACCATCTGGTTATGACATTCACAGTTCGCCATGGTTTTTCGATGGCCCTAATCGAAATAGATGGGCCGTACCGTTCTTTTTTTAGCATGGTGGATCTTTCCAGTTCGCGAACTGTTAGTCATAACCAGATGTAGAAAATGTGGAGATATCAGCTACGAAATCCTAGATATGCTCAACATTTCTCTGCGGATGTAATATGATGTCATGATCTGGCAAAAGGTCAAGGAGTGCAACTTTCATGAGCTTCCAGTAGAAATGATTAACGTCACAAATCACAGGCCACGTATATTGACATTCTTTTGTCTCATCACAAGCTTTTTTTTCCCCCATCTATAGATATATACACCATAAATCAAACTTGAGATTATATCAAATCCACTCACAAATGTCAACCATCTACCCACCACAATCCATTTCTTGTGGAAATAGAAGCCTTCTATTTTGAAGCTATGTCAGCTATATCCCCATAGCCCTTAAAGGCCTAAAGCTCCAATGGTAGCTCCAATGAATCGGTCCCCCGGCGAGGAGGCCAAAAGCTGCATGCGCGCGGCCGTGAGGACATTGCCCCCCAAATGTACGGGCATCTCTATGGCATTTTTGGTACCCTCTGGTTATGACTAACATAGCCATGGTATAGATGGCCCTAATCGAAATAGATGGTTTACCGTTCTTAATAGCATGGTGGATCTTTCCATGGCTATGTTAAATCACCAGATGGTATGTTTCAAATCATGACTGTTTCATGTTTCGGAAAAAAAGTGAGGATGCACCTCTTGGGTTTGGCAGAAGGCCGTGCCACCACCAGGAGTTTGCCTCCTGAAGTTCTGGAGCGCGCCGGTCTGCCGAAAAGCGACGCCAAAGGCTCCGACGCGGCCGACAGATGAGCAAGTGGAGCGACCACGTAGGGAGCCGTGAAGGGTGAAGAGATTGACACTCGCCGATCCGGGAAGGAGTTCATGCTTATTTGGATGATTTTGGTGGAAGTGAACTGAGTCACTTTATGGGTTTTGGTCGCTGTTTGACTGTCTACATTTGGTTGTTTTTCTTCTCATTCTTTCCGCAGTCTTGGCCCCACACTCCTCCTTTAAGCCAGGGCATGCCCAAGCTCAGGAACAGTCTGATGGTCGAGAAAAAAGGGCTAGCGAAGGCATGGAGATGCTCAGATTTGACAGTCTTGGCTGTTCTGATCCTGATTCTTCTTGTTGAAGCGCTCGCCTTTCGGCGAGGAAAGGTCGGACACCCAGCAGTTCTACTAGTACATCCAGGTTCAGTTGTACAGCAGACATGGACGAAGCGTGCCCCGGCCAAGAGTTGTCTCACTCGCTGCGAAAAAGATTGAAGCTGGAAGTAGGGGGGTGATTCCTCAAACTCAAACGAAGTGCAATTTGGCTTGAGAGATTTGAGAGGCCGTGTGCTGTCCTGCAACCAGGTAAGATAAAAAAAGTAACCCAGGTGAACCATGGTGAAACCAACAGTCACTCTGATGTGCTGAACCTTTGCCGTTTGCCGTTGGCTCCGGGTTGCAGTTGGCTTCAACCGGTGCGCATGCCGTGGGGAAGACGTGGTGGCGTTCTCCGAATTGCGATCGTGGCAGGTGGGGAACATCTTCAGCTTTGAGACGCCACCCGCGGGTGATTTTTTTGGGTCATAAATGGTGTCTCCCAAAGGGATGGCTGGGTTATAAATGGTGGTTATCAATGGTAGACCCACCAAATTGTCCACCAACAGTCACCAAAGTTGAGAAACTTGCTGGGTCTAAGTCTAAACGGTGCCAGCCCTGTGACCAAAGATGCCTTGTAGCCAGCTGTGGGAGGCATCGGAGTGCTCCCTGCACTTCGCACCATGGCAGCCTGTCCGGAAAAGAGGCCCAAGTTGACCCCAAAGCTTGACTCGAAGCCCGGAATTTGCTGATTTTGTTGGGCATTTTCCCATGGGTTCATCATGGGTTTTATCCACCAGAACTGGGGAATCTAGTGATGGTTTTCGACAGAATTTTGGGTGGCTAGTTCCCAGCTGGATCAGCTTGTTTCTACTCAGGAAAGTCTTTGGGAAGTGGTACTGGGAGGTGAAAGAGCTGGCTGCGTTTCTCAGAGAGCAAGGCCTCTCCAGCAGCGGCCTCAAGGCCGACCTCACCCAGCGAGTTTCTGACTTCCTACGTACGGGCCGCGTTGCAGAGAGACGGGTTGCAGCTGGCAAGGGACCTCGAGATAGCGCGATTCCGGGGGGATTGAAGGTGAGTACCCCGGTGGAAAACTACAACAACGATGCTGCCACCCGAAGTTTCTTTGAAAAGCACGTGGAGGGCTTCCGTTTCAATGAGTACCTCCGCAGCTTTTCGAAAGGAGTCCCCGAGGGCCAAAAACTGACCTATGGTGATTTGATTGAAGGTTGGAAGAAAGCTGAGAAGGACAGGGGCTTAGTATAAATGTCCATCTGAGCTCATCTGGTTGGTGGTTTGGAACATTTTTTATTTTCCATAATATATGGGATAATCCTTCCCATTGACTCATATTTTTCAAGATGGTTAAAATCACCAACCAGCCATTGATTTTGGGTGATTTTTACCTTTTGAACCATTTTTAAACACCTGAATCCAGGGTTGTTTGGCAGTCTCAGTCATGCTTGGGAGATGGTGATGTTCAGCCCTGCAGGAGCGCAGTGAAGGGAAGCAGGACTGGGTTGCTGCAAGCCGGAACAAATGTGGATGAATATTTTCATATCTTCATCCACCCATTTTACCAACTATGTTGGGTTGGTGAAACTCCATTTTGATATGTTGGTTGGTGAAATGAAGATACATCCCATTGAAACCATATTAAACCTCCAAGAAAAAACCCAAACTCATGTTGAACAACAAATCCCGGGAGATTGGCAAAACCAGATCAATATCCCATTACATAAACCATAATTATCCCTTTAATAACCCGTTGATTAAGATCCATTAATATCACATTACTGTCCATTTTAAACCATGTTATCATTATCATTATAATTATCCAATCACTATCATTCATTCTCCATATTAAAACCATATACAGCCATATAATTCAACATATTACTTTCCCAAGTTTACATTAAGATAAATTTGAATATGGTTATCCATTTAACCATATGATCCATTCATGGTTATCCATCTTGAAATCATATCCCATATGAAATCAGTAATATTATATATATAGAATCAGAATCATCATATAATCCCATTGATATTAACCATATTAATATCCCATTAATATCCCATATTATCCATATATAGAACTATATAGAACAATATAGAACCGTATTATCCATATTCATTATCCCAAAGTTCATTATCCATTCATATTAACCATATTATGATATTATCCCACTAATATTCCATATTAATATCCCATGAATATCCCATTAATATTGATATTAACCATATTAACCATCAATATTCCATTAATATTCATTATCTCAAAGTTCATTATCATATTATAATCCATCATATCCCATAGTAATATCCCATAATACGCCATATTAAATCCATATTTCATTATCCCAAAGTTCATGATCCATGAATCTTAACCATATGAATTCCCACATGAAACCCCCAGGAGATTGGCAAACAGTTCGAGTACAACCAGTTCACGCGCGACTTCTTCGCCGCCAACCCTGGCAGCTCCCGAAAGGAGATGATGGACGCCTGGAGAGCCATCCGTAGCGTGGTGGGGACTGTGCTTTCGCAACGGTTTGGGTGGGGAAAAATGGCGGAAATCCATGGTTTTTACCACCAAAAACCATGGGAAACCCATAGAAAACCATGGTTTTACCATCAAAAACCATAGAACACCATGGTTTTTTACCATGAAATATAGTGGGTCTTTATATACATTTTCCTTCAAACAAAGCCATGCATTGGTTTTGCCTGCAGCATTTTGCAGCGGGAGTGGAAGGTGCAAGGTCATTTTGTTCAAGTCTTTGTTCTCTCAAGCAGATTCTTCAAAGACAAAGTTCATGAAATAAACAGAAGAGGGGGTCTTGTTCATGGCTCTTGTTTCCTGACAGCCTGACAGCCACTAAGGCAATTGTGAAGGTCCAAACACCTACAAGGAATTTCTGCGGCTCAACCGTGCCGGGGGCAGCTAGTAGCTGTTTCGTGACAACAGCGTGCCCAACCCTTGGCAAAGAAAGGAGTCCAATTCTTGGCCGCGCCAATCAACATGACAAAGTTGCCTTCTTTGACTTGTCTTCTTGGGTACATCCCAAACTATCCAACATATTTTTTGCCAATCATGTGGGTAAAACAATGCCATAAACATCCATAAACCACCCATTTGGGGATGGTTCAAAAACTAGTTTATACCGTTTGTTTATGGCGATTTTTCTGGGGGACGGTGCAAATGGCAAGGAGTTTATACCCATGCTGTCTCTCAGTGAGGTTGGCTCAAGGACAGCCGAGTCGCCCACCGCTCCGCCCCATGGATGGCATAGAGGCAGGTTGGCTGATGAACGCCGCAGGATGTCTTTGGGATGGTGGAAAACCCTCAGAAAAGATAGGTTGTTGATGGTTTTTGAAAGGAAACCAGTTTTTTCTTTGATGTTGGTCTTGATTTTTTTTGAGGTTTCTTGATTTCGACTTGTCATTCACTGGACCCTTCCAAAACGGGCAGAGACTTGCGGAGGCGAGCGAAGTACCCGAAGAGGCCGAACGACAGTGACGAAAGTTTCACAAATGCCGTGGCTCCAGAATTTCCCCCTGATGTCGAGGCTTCTCTCCTCGAATATGAAGAGCTTTGCAATGAGGTGGTGGATGGCAATGGAAAGTGGTGCTGGCTGTGATAAAATGATCACTTCTAGTAGTTGACCTGTTTTTTTTCTCCCCAGAAAACTGGGTGCACTTTTCCAACATTGTCATTTTTTTCCGTGTGGAAAATGATGTTCTAATTGGTTGGACATGGAGGTCATTCCCACATTGGAAGACACAGCCAGCTGCTTCCCGCATTCGGAGGTGCTCGAGTTGCAAGCTGAACTGAGAGCTGGGAAGATCGAGGTCGGCTGCGCAGTGTGTCATCTTGCAACCCATAACTGGGGGTGTCCTAAAATGGGGGTACCCAAAAATGGATGGTTTATATTGGACTATCCTATCAAAATGATCCGATTAAAATGGATAATTTAGGGTTACCTCTATTTTAGGAAACGCCCAATTGGATCCAATTGGACAAATCAAACATGGCACGAACAGATCCTATTGGGAAGAATGGTTTAGTGATGTTCGATCCTATTAAAGATCCAAACGTGGCACTATATGAATGGTTTTTTAATGGGAAGAAGATCGAACTATTGCAGAGAAATTCGCCAGTGCGCCATGTTGGATTGCCGGAGGGTACTTTTCCAGAAACTTCAAGGAACACTTCAGAGAATTTTCAGCTTTCCACGCCATTTTTTCCCTTCCCAACCAACATTTTGAACCAAAAAAGTTGGGAGATGGATCAATAAGTTACGTCCCCCCATTTTTTTGGGTTCAAGCCCCAGATTTTTTTGGAAGATCCCTCCAACTTTTATGAAAGTTCCCTCTGAAATCCCACATTTTTTTTGGGAAGAACCCTCCACAACTCCCAACTTCCCAGGTCCAGCAGCTCCGGCTGCGTCTGTTTTCGGCCTCCAAAAGCTCCGCGTCGGGCGCCAGCGCCGTAGCGCCGGCGCCGGCACTCCCTGCCGTGCTGGAGGACTGGTGTCGTCACTGGTGTCCTGTAGGATCCACCAAGCCACCAAGCTTCGGATGAAATCATGACAAAAAATGGGGCTGGGGGCTGGGAGTTGATGTATTGGATCGAAGATCCAGGCTTTTTTTGGCAGGGTTTTTTTGATGGACAATCGGATGAACCATCGAAGTTGAGATCTTCGGCCATCGGAAGATGGGTGATCACCAGGAACCTCGAGCGCAAGAGCTCCAGCGCCTCTTCAAGGTGAGCAAATGGGGTTTGAAAGTTTTTGGGGATACCCCAAAATCCAATGGTTTACCCTCTGGTAATCAACTGTGGCCATTGGACATCCCCTAATTATACATGGAGGTTTATAGCTGGGAAAAGCCATACATGGTGAATTTTCCATTGCCAGGTTTGATTACCGGAGGGTATCATGTTACATGTTGATCCACAACCCTGGAAGATATTTGGGAAGATCTGATGGATCATTTTTGAGACGGATTTTTTTTGAGATTGAACTTGATCGAACCTCCAAATCTGGAAGTTCATAAAGGATTCCGTGGTGTAGAACATCATGTTTCCAATATTTAATGGCCGTTATCCTATCCATTTTTTTGTAAACCTAGATGTGGATGGGCTTCACTCAGCAGTTTATGATGTTTGCCAGATGGTGCATGCGGTCATATGAACGAATCACATGCACGTTGCATTCGAGCGTGGAAGGATTGACATCCAGGGTCACCTATCAAGGCCACCAGAGTTTTTGGTTGGTGAAAAGGTGTTGTACCCCAGGAACATTTGCAGGAAACCCTTCTGATTGATGGAAAGAAAGATGATTTCTGGTTCAGATTTTTCATGATTTTTCCGACAGTATATAACTAAAAACTAAACCACCCCCCAAGCGACAGCCCTGCTCCCAGTGGCTGGCTGGCACCGTTGATCTCAGCGAGTCTGAGATTTTTGATGTGGGCTTTGAGGTGAGAGCCGGGCGGGATGTAGATTCTCACCTGGCAACAGCCACCTTTTGCAACGTTTGACCTTGGATTTTTGCATTTTATTCTGACCATTGATTAATTGGTCCAACAAAGTGTGTAGAACGGAGGATCTGAGAAGGCAGAGATGGTTCGGAGGAATTGCGTGAAGCAGCGGACAATTGATAGTAAAGAGTCAGATGCAGACACAGGAACAGGCTACCACCAACTCCCTTGGGGATCCCAAAAATGTGCGTGTGGGTCAAAATAGGATCCTCTCTCCAAATCGGATGATCTAATCATGTTTGATCATTCTAATCATCTAATCCCCAAAGACTTGGATGGTGGACCAAAAAAATGCAGGAGACCGTTATAGTAAAGGCTAAGAGCCCGCGGTTTCCTGTAGATTTTCCCCTCGTAGCCAGGTTCCCATTGGGGGCCGGAGAGTTCACCTTCACCGCGTGGTGCAATGGCCGCTGTCGGTCGCGGCGGCCCTACCATTTTGGGCGCGGCGTTCATGTGGCATTTTTGCCACAACCGACTAGAACAAAAGCAGGATTCACAGATTCAGCGGAGTCTCTCGTCTTGGCTTGAAGCCGTCCAAGCTTTTTATGAAGGCATTGGCGCTCAAGGAGCATGAGCTTCTTGGTGACTGAGCAACGTCAAATCAGAGTTCACAATTTCAAACACAGTTTTTACGCATCACCTGAAAGCGAAACATGATAAATTCAGGAATGCATAAAGATTCGCTGAGCGCAACGAACCTTGAGGCTTTGCAGGGGATCTCATCAAGACAAGTATAGCACAAGTTTGACTGCGGCCCGCTACGCCATGGGATGTCTTGAGCCTCTGCTGCATGAGCATGGCCTGGCTTCACACCAAGCTGTGCTCACGGCCAGAGGCCTTCATTGTGTGGAAGACTTGGCGCAGCTCAATGAGGTAGACGTTGATTACCTCAGAGATGCCTTAGTGGAAAATGGAGCCGACGGAATTGCCTCGCGCAGGTTCTTGAGAGCTGCCAAGCCAACCGCCATGCTGAATGAGGATTGCATTCATTTTTATCGTCTCGCTGAGAGGATCAATTCTACAGATGTCTCAGGTTTGGAAGAATCCACCATTTTGAAGATTGATATTTACCCATTCAATGAACATGCTGCTAGATTGCATGTGCCCGCAAACATCCTATCCCGGCTGACCCAAACCTCCAGTACAGATCCCATGCCCGTGGTTTCGTTGCTGGGGCCAACTGGAAGTGGCAAGAGCTTCGTTGCCAGCACTTTCTTACAGTCAAAGGACGGAGTCTTGCCGCTCGTAGCGAGTCCTGACCAGCATGTGCCAACATCAGTGCATGTATGCGTGCACAGAGCTGCGATCCATTCAGGTTCCAGGAAGTCGAGACCTATTCTCTTGTTTGACTACGAGGGCGAGGATGGACGAGTGCCTAAAACCTTGCTGGAGGTGGGCATGAGAAGGCTCGACGTCTTGCGTAAGATTGGCCTGACAGAGGCTGCACTGCAGCAGCAATTGGAAGCCACAGCAGCTCGACGACAGGAAGTCATCAAGGAGCGCTTGCCGCCAATGGCTTACCTCTTGTCCGATGTGGTGGTGTTCATTGACACAGTAGAGCCGCGCAGGACTGAGAGGGTTGATAGAATCAGGCGCTTTGCAGAACAGGCCCATCAATCAGTCAACTCGATGGCTTGGAAGCCTGCATTGATTCTTGTGCAGAACAAGTGGATGAGGGAGACTGAGAGTGCAGCCTTCAACGTCAGTGACGAACTTGATTGGCTCCAGGCAAATTTGGCAGCGATTTTTTCCAGTGTGAGCGTCTTGCGAATTGCTCACGTCTCCCAGCACCATTGGTTCGAGGCTAGCCTGAATGAATTTCACAATGAACTCTTGAGAATGGTCGACGAAGTCCATCACTTCCGGCAAGAGCAAGGTGTGCTTTTCTCTGAGCGAGACTTGTGGTTCAGCTTTAAGCCCATGGTGACTCAATTCAGTGATCCTGGCCAACTCAAAAAGAATTTGGCAGATTTTGTTTCAAGAGACCTTGTATCCATGAATGCTGCTGAAAATGCTTTGTGTGCATTTAAAAGGCTGCAAGGCACAGCGCCATCCCCGGACCCTGTGAAGTTTCACAGAATTGTGGAACACGTCTTGCTGCGGTATGCATACAGCCTGGCAGGAGAGGCTCGCCGTGATGGAATTGATGTTGAATCTTCCAAGCAAAGGATGCACGCGATATATGAGAAGGCGGTTGGTTTTCTGGCAGGGGAAGAACCATGTTCAGCCAACCTGTGCCATGATATGGATGGAAAGACCTACTGTTGCACACAACTCCGCACCGGTCACACGCATATGCACAGGAACCCGGCGCTCATTCCCGTGCAAAGTGAGAACTTTTTCCTCAGATTATTCTTCTTTGGATTTTGGCAGGATTGGAAGCCTTGCGTTTGGCAAGGAGACTTTGAGACTGCGACTGAGATGGCTCCCTCATATGAAAAGATTGAGGAGGCTTTTCTTGACTTCTTGACGCAAGATGTTAGCGCGTACTTGAAGTCTTCCCGGCTTGCACCATTTGACGAAGACCAGCCTGAGTCCCTGGAGCAATTTGACATTTGCTCGCTTTGCCTCCGTGCAGATTCTGAGCAAGTCTGCTTGAAGCATCGCGAATGTCGACATTTTCTGTGTCGAAAATGTCTTTTGACCCGCATGATGCTTCTCGGCCCTGACAACAGGACTATTGTTTGCCCATTCTGCCACAAAGAGTCTGATGGACAAGCTCACTCCTCGCATGATGAGAGAAATGGGAAGGGCTTTCGCATTCTCTCACTTGATGGTGGCGGCGTGCGAGGACTGATTGAGGTCCTTGTTCTGAAGCGCCTTGAAGAGGTTTTCGACCCCTTGCCGATCACCTCTTTGTTTGATCTCATCGTTGGGACCAGTGCTGGTGGCCTGGTTTCCATGGCCCTTTTGACAGGAGTTTCACTGTCAACCTTGGAGGGAAAGCTGCAAAACTTGGCCGAGGATTTTTTCTCAGTCAACCGCTTCCAAAATGCTTGGCACATTCTGACCAAGATGAGCATACATTGTACAGATTCACTTGGGGAAGTGCTGAAACACATTCTTGGCGACAAAAACATGGCAGAATTCAGAGAAGATAGACCTCCATACATTTTTTGGGTCGCCTGCGATGTTGAGACAATTGAGCCAGTGGTCATTGGCAACTATCCCAGACATTTTGAAGGCACCAAATCCTTGACAGCTTGGAAAGTCAGCCCTTGGTATGCGGGGCTCTGTACTGCAGCAGTTCCCGGGTTTTTTGATCCTGTTGACGCAAACCAGGGTGTAAAAACATTGAGAGAAAATGACGCTGAGACCAAAGAGTTTCAGCAGCGAAAAATGGCTGATGGTGGAATTGTGGCCAACTGCCCTGCAGCCTTGGGTGTCAAGGTCGCAAGCGCTCTGCACGTTGGATCAAAAGGTTTTGATGACATACACGTGGAGTCCATCGCTTCCATTGGAACTGGATTGCCTGAACCTTCTGTGGTGGTGACAGATATGAATCTGCTGACCTGGGCAATGAAAGTCATTGACATAGCCACAGATTCCGAGAAGCAGTGGAAGGAAGGAATCGAAGAGAGAGCCGAACTTCAGTCCACGCCCCGAGTCCGAGTGAACCCTCCCAAGTTGGGCTCCCTAGCTGCTTTCCAGAGCACGTCCATTCCAAAACTGCAAAAAGGCATGGAGGAGTACTTCGCATCAGAATTGGGGAAGCAACAGATGGGAAAACTCGTCCACATGACTTATGCAAAGCTTTGGGAAGTGAAGCAAGCCCTATCACTTGTGGCAGGAGGGCCGGGCGTGAAATTCAGCATTGTGATGCAGGATCATCGTTGTGATTTCCATAGTTTGGAGATTGTGAAGCTGAAGGAGATCATTTGCAAGAGACGGCAAGGCCTCGAAGAGAATCACTTGCAAGGCAACAGCGAGGATGAGCTGTGCAGAATGGCAAAGGAGGCATTTGAAAGCAAACCTTTCCTTTTCGATTTCCAAGGGACATTTGGATATCGATTTGCCGGAGTTGAGTATGAACTGGCTGATGGACAAATGGAATTCAACCTTGAGCACCACAAAGCTGGCGCCCCCGAATTGGACGTGTTTTGGCGAAGTGTGCACGGTGACATCTCTCTCAGTGGCTTGCCACGCACCGTGAGGGTCAGTGAGTGATTTCAATTTTTGACATCAGGAGAGAGTGTGGCTCCTGAACACAACCCGGGCGCTTTCATTCGCCTGACAGGACAAATACAGTTTGCAGAGTGCCATGTCTTGGTTGAATCTTGCTTGACCATTTTGCCCTATTTTGCCTTGGTTGAACCGCTGCAGCCATTGCTTCATGAGTCGTTGGTGACTTTAGGCTGGGCTGCACTTGACAGCTCCCTTGGAGCACCGAGTCCGGGGGGCTCAGAAATCTTTGGACATGGCAGCAGCTGATGGAGGAGAAAGGGGAACCAGTTTTGGTGGCTTCAGATATTGTCCACGTATGTCCACGTTGGATCATGGAGATCACCATTTTTTTTTCTGGAGGGCTTGAAACAACTAGTAGCTAGCCAGTGAATCTCTAGAAGGGAACATCCACCTGAAACAGGACTGACATCAGGTGGAAAAGTGATCCTCCATGTGTTGCGCCAAGGAACCTCTTGGGAATCTGCTGGCATCAACTCGCAGCACGGGCAAGGTGCAGATCCAAGCCTTGCAGCACGCGTTGTGTTTCGATTTCAGCGGTTTCAAGGACGGTCACATCCATCTACTATTGAAAATCAAGGCCAAAGTGTTTGGTTCCAATCAACAAACTGCCATAGAAATATCATGAAATAGCTGTTTTTTTCCCTTGAACTACCATAAAATCACATTTTTGCCCCTTAACTGCCATAAAGTGGCTGTTTTCCCAAGCATCCCAAGGTGGCGTCGTTTTTTTTTTGGCCAAACCCCTTTTGGTGGACAAAGTCCGCAGGTCGACACGGCCGCTTTGCTCCACTTTCTCGCTGGTTGGGATCTCATCGCTGGCGAATTTGCGGCGTCCGGGGTGGCTGAACCTTCTGTGGCGCCGGCGTGGACGTTGTTGGGACCTGGAGATGGAGGGTTTCCAAAGTCATGGGTCATGGGTCATGGGGGGAGGGAACCATCGAATTTTTTCAGCAACTTGTGACATTGTGGATTTAACAGGATTTGGCCAATCAACGTATTAAATATGAAGGTTTTTCGAAGTCATGGGGGTATTTGAATAGCTGGATGGGTTATATTAGGGAAACTCCGAAGATAACATGGATGATTTGGGGGTGTACGAGGTTGGTTGATGAGATTATGATTAATCAAAGGGGAACGACTTATGATAGACTCATCCTATGCTTTTAGTGTTACTTTTTCACAGACTCATAGGTTGATGGTCCAGGGGTCATGGTTGAGAAAACCCCAAGGCAAATCATGATTAAGGCGCCCAATCTTCCAACAACACATCCAAAATGACAAGATTATGATAGAAATTGAGACAACAAAACCAAATTATGAGAAGAAAGAAACATGATATATACATGATATATAAAGTTATATAAAGTTCTTATATTTTCAACTATGAGTTAAAGAAAACAAATTATGATATTTATGAGTTTGAGATGCTGGTTTTCGACAAACATCAACCAAACATCTCAAGGGGACCATGTTTCTTGATGGTGCCAGGTCTTGCTGTCGCACAGAGATTCGACCCAGGCAGGTTCCCGTGATGTCTGGGTTTGAACACCTGGCGTTTGGTTGAGGACAATTTTGCAGAAAACCTGGATGAATATGGGGTTTTCCAGTAGATTTCTTGAACATTTATCCAATCCCTTGGGTTTTTTTCCCAATATTTTAATGATTTATCCAACATGGAAAAACCTGGATGTTGCAGGGTTTCCACCTGGATGATATTGGGAATATTGGGTTATCCAATCGCCATTGGGTTTTCCCATGGATCAACCCGCCTAGGGAATCCTGGTCGCCGCGTGGCCAACGCGAGAAGCGCTGCAGGCGGGATCCGCGACACCCCAATTTATGGCCATGGAAAAAGTGGGGAAAAAGTTTGAAAAAGTGGGGAAAATGGCCGAAACCATGGTTGTTTGGCGATGAAAGTTCGTGAGGTTCTAAATTTGGAGACAACCCCAGGTACATAAACATGGGTTGGTCTGAAAATTTAGGGGAACACCCAGAAATCCAGTGGTTTCTGATCATTTCCCCTAATCAAAATAGTTATTTGATGTTATTTGGGGGTATGTATACCGGTATACCACATTTCCAGCCACACATCCGCATGGTGTATCAGCAGAGGTATCTCGCGCTTGCTCATCTTCCTTGCGGCTTGGAGAGCGAGTGGAGGCCATATGGCTCCAGTCCCTGCTGTGACTGGCCACGGATCTGCTTCCCTGGTGGAGGTCGAATATGATGGGCAGATGTACCCCGGAGTTCTACATGCCGTGGATGCACATGGGATGGCAAGCATCAGGTGCAGCGCGGCTTTGTACAATAAAGGGTCTCTCAAACAAAAGGGGTTTGATGTCCCGCTTCAGATTGCCATAGGGAGTTTAATTTTTCAGTACTCCTATTATCAACGTTTTAGCAACCTCATGGCAACATCTATTAAATATATGATAATTCCAGGTTATTCTAAATTTTCAGTACTCATCATTTAGAATAAACATTTTTAGTACTGAAAGAAACCCTGTTATGTTATACTAATCAACATTTTTCAACATTTTTCACCTAACCTGGGATGATGATGCGCGACCCGCCAGATGTGATGTGGATCCTCCCGGTGTCATGACTGTGACGCCGCTGTCAGTGAGCCTGGCACGGCCTTGGGCACCGAAAAACACGGGGGGGTTCCATAAATGGGGTACCCCAATAGCTAGATTTGGATGGTTTATAATAATGGAAAAATCTATTAAACATGGATGATTTAGATAAATAGCTAGATCTGGATGGTTGATTTCATGGAAAAACCATCTATAAAAATCTATAAAAATGGATGATGGATGAGGTACCCCCATTTATGGAAACCTCCACATGTTCTTCTTTTGGGCTGTTTGGGATTCTGTTGAGTCAAAACAACAACCCATCTCTTTGAGATCGGCAGGTTTCCGATTTGTGCCATCTCTGAAGTCGTTTCCTGCACTGAAACTCAGCTTCCGTGCCAGCGCGTGCATCGCATTGTGGGATGCCAGGACAGGGACAAAAGATGGAGGGTAGACGTCAAACTGAGACCTTGACACCACGATTCCTTCCGCAAAGTGCAACTTCTTAAAATTTGCCACTAAGATCCAATAAGAATGGTCAGAATGGTGTTGAAAGTTGAAGATTCGGTAATTCTTGGGGAGCAGAATAGAATCATTTATATATTTTGTGAGGAGTTTTTTTTCAA